CATGAGTTGTGTTTACGTCCAGTGGCAAGCACACTGCTAAGAATTTCGCGCGGCGGGGGATAATTTTTTGCATGTAATTTGTTCTACCTACCCATCACTCATAAATGTCCCACCCTTGGGGCACATTTCACAAACATACACCAGTAAAACCTCAGGGTAGTTACATCTTATAATTGCACTGGCAGTCCTCCGCAGCACCGTCAAGGCACGATAGGCATATCACTTCTAGTTACGTTCGGGCTTTGTCAACGCCTTGTAGCAGCACCGTGATTATTTCTTGCAGTCGCGACCAACGTCTTAATGGCAATCGTGTCAACCATCGTGTGCACCTCTGCTGGTGTGAATTAAAGAACCTTTGTGATTGGCCCGGGGGTAAGGGCCTGCTTCCGAGAAGCGCTTTGGTTGAAGTTTGAACCAGTGCGTGTTATGGATTATGTGATGCTCCCATTCCTAAAGCGAAAGTGCGCCTAAAAAACCAACCGTGATAAACGTCATAGAGCAGAAAACAAAGCCAACGCATAAAGTTTGGCTGCATTCGTGAGATATTACCTGAATGCTTGCAGATCGCTTGGTCTTAACAAAATGTTTTAATCTTTCGTAGCATTTATTACAGAAACATTTTGACACTTAAGTATGCTGTCGATATTAAAGAGCACACACGTCGGAAAAGCAAGGCAAATGAGATGTATTACTTTCATAGTAGTGAGCGGGAACTCAACTGAGATTTCTCCTGCTGCGTGGGCTACTTCGAATAAAAGTTCTGAGCTTTTCAGAGGGATTTCAACAAAACTGATCCTACTGATCAAATCTTACGCGTCTGAGGTAACAATAGGTAAACAGCACACAAAACACCGGCATTAGGTTATATTGGGATACTGATAACGACCTAGATCTCTTCATTCCACTTGACCTATATCGATACGCATTCAATCTGGTAATTCGGAGCAGCGCGCCCTCAGTTTCTCTTTCGTGACACACAGTAGACACAATGTTTCACTGCCAGTGGTAACAACACTGCAACATAAACTCTCTATTTGTTCTTCTCAGGGACTAGTCGAGCGAGATAAGACCCATCCCAGATCCAATTAGGCTTTGGCTGTGACGCTCATCGTCACCAATCAGTTCGTAAAACACCAATGATGGAAACCCGCATTATAATTTGCACTACACATCCATATGTGATCTTATGCGTGCCTACTTCGTCGAACGACCTTATCCGTGGAAGGCAAGCTTTCCGTTTTCAGAGCTCCCGCTTAATCTATTTTCAGGATGTATTTGCGTTTGTAGTCATCAGAAGCGTATGATGCACCGAACAATCAGTGCAAATGGTATTCGCGAGTAGCCAGATATTCAGCTGCGGGGCTGGAGAAGGGATGCGATTGGACGAAGACGGGCGCATGTTTTTACTTACACATGTACGGATATACTGAAGCAGGAGTTTAGCCTGGCATGTCCGTAGCACTATGCGTGCATGCCGATTGGTTATTGTAAGCAGGACTCACGGGCGGCATCACTTCCACTTTATTTACACGACACGCTGTCGCATCGTTGCAAAGTACGTTACAAAAGCTGCAGTTCAAAGAGCGTCTTGGGGCTTGCTAGTAGTTCGTGCGTTAATCGGTGCTGGTGAGGTAGAGAGTGAGGTAGTTGACGTGAGGTATGCTGACTGGTGACCAGTCGGTGCGTTAGTCGGTGCTGGTGAGGTAGAGAGTGGGGTAGTTGACGTGAGGTATTCTGACTGGTGACCAGTCGGCGCTGGTGAGGTAGAGAGTGAGGTAGTTGACGTGAGGTATGCTGACTGGTGACCAGTCGGTGCGTTAGTCGGCGCTGGTGAGGTAGAGAGTGAGGTAGTTGTCGTGAGGCATGCTGACTGGTGACCAGTCGGTGCGTTAGTCGGCGCTGGTGAGGTAGAGAGTGAGGTAGTTGTCGTGAGGTATGCTGACTGGTGACCAGTCGGTGCGTTAGTCGGCGCTGGTGAGGTAGAGAGTGAGGTAGTTGACGTGAGGCATTCTGACTGGTGACCAGTCGGCGCTGGTGAGGTAGAGAGTGAGGTAGTTGACGTGAGGTATTCTGACTGGTGACCTGCATGCGCCTGTAATGTGTTTCCTGTCCTACACTTTGAAACATATTTTTGAACTATTGTACATGGTCGAATGCATTTCTACCTTATTGTCCGTGCTATCTTCCATCTGCCCCATGTCATCACTCTCATGTACATAACAAGTCACCTCATTTCACGCACCGATACAAAACATAGGTTGCTGGGTAACATCTAACGATATAGTCATGGGGACGATTGCTCCATCCGCCCCATTAGGGGCGTGGTGGCCACGGGCCACTCCAGACGAGAACATTCAATCTGATAGATACGGACCTAATAAATCGAGTGCGGCGATGATGAGTGAGCACCTCGTACGTTTTCTCTGAAGGGTCGAAGGCCACTGGATCGGCCAGAGAATCCTCTCAACTAGGAGGTGAGAGGAGAGGGAGAGAGGGGGGGGGGGGGAAGGGGAGAAATTAATACTTTTAACTCCGAAACAGATCACATGAATTAAGGCAGCGAAGGCGGGGTATGGCTCGTGGTGATTTTCGAGAAGATCGGAGAAAACTTAAGGAAATCTTTTATGATGTCAGCAGCATTGTGAACATAGGCGACCACAAACCTATATGGCTGTGTACACCCTCTTGTAAAACCCCGAGCCGTTCGGAACATTCGTGGACAGCGGGCATCGGTAACTTCACAGCAGGCCTTTCGTGACACTTGCGCCTGCTGCTGTGGTGCAGCTTCCCATCCCAGTACTGATGTGGTGCAGCTTCCCATCCCAGTACTGCTGTGGTGCAGCTTCCCTTCCCAGGATCCCATCGACTTCGCTCAGACAGCTCAACGGCATCGGTAGGCGGTGGGGCGCGGCCGCCGCGAGCAGTGGCAAAGGTGTCCCAGCCCGCAGCAGTGGCAAAGGTGTCCCAGCCCGCAGCAGTCCTGCTCGTAGAGTGTCCCAGCCCGCAGCAGTGGCAAAGGTGTCCCAGCCCGCAGCACTCCCGCTCGTAGAGTGTCCCAGCCCGCAACAGTGGCAAAGGTGTCCCAGCCCGCAGCACTCCCGCTCGTAGAGTGTCCCAGCCCGCAACAGTGGCAAAGATGTCCCAGCCCGCAGCAGTCCCACTCGTAGAGTGTCCCAGCCCGCAACAGTGGCAAAGGTGTCCCAGCCCGCAACAGTGGCAAAGGTGTCCCGGCCCGCAGCACTCCCGCTCGTAGAGTGTCCCAGCCCGCAACAGTGGCAAAGGTGTCCCAGCCCGCAGCAGTCCCGCTCGTAGAGTGTCCCAGCCCGCAACAGTGGCAAAGGTGTCCCAGCCCGCAGCAGTCCCGCTCGTAGAGTGTCCCAGCCCGCAGCAGTGGCAAAGGTGTCCCAGCCCGCAGCAGTCCCGCTCGTAGAGTGTCCCAGCCCGCAACAGTGGCAAAGGCGTCCCAGCCCGCAGCACTCCCGCTCGTAGAGTGTCCCAGCCCGCAACAGTGGCAAAGGTGTCCCAGCCCGCAACAGTGGCAAAGGTGTCCCAGCCCGCAGCAGTCCCGCTCGTAGAAGTATCATTTTCTCCGCCGCCCGCAAGTGACCACCCTAACGCCATTTGAAAGAGACAACGGACAACTAACAAAAGTCAAAGGTGTCAGGGCTCTTGACCGGGTGTGCCATGAGCGCCCTGAGTACCAATGCAGCAGGCACGAGTTTTGCTGACGTCGAGCACAAGTCACGCCAGTCACCAGGACTTCGCGCAAGAGTAACGAATGTTTCTCAAATGGTTTCAACCTTTAAGGAGGGGAACGATTTCTTGCAAGGCTCACCAGACTCCTTTTCCGTTAGTAAACAACCCAATTTCCGACTGACCAGGGTGCTCCGGTCGATCCAGGGGTCCTAGACGCTTTTGAAAAGCTTGTTAGCGGCTATTCGGCATTATTATAGTCACTTTGTCAAGACAGGTGTCCACAGATTTTTGCCCTGCAGGGGCCCATTGACCCTAAGCCCTCAGGGGGAAATGGAGCAATTTTCTGTCCTCTCATGGCTCTGTCATTATACAGCAACGGTTTTCTTGCATAGATACGTGTTTGGCACAAGGTCATTTGTACACATTGCAGGGACCTCATGTGGCAGATGGAAGATAACACTGCGGTGAAGCAAAGATAATATGCATCTATAATGGCACAAATGCGTCTGGTGCATTTGGAATAGCTTACCTGCGAACATTATTATAGTAACGCTGAGCAGCAAGAGCAGACACAAGACGCGCATGTTGAACAGTCGTGTATACGCCGCGGTCCGGACCCTGTCGAGGCGTGCGCAGTTCTGACCCATGGCTCGACGCCACAGCCGTGTCACCTGAAAGGTCACTCGCCGCGCTGCTGATGTCACTGTCTGCGGATGGTGTTCGTTGTTTACGGGAAGTCACGGGGCCGGAAAGGTCATGTCGGTGGCGAGTGATGGGTCTGACCTAACCAGTCATCCACTTTGACGGGGGTGTCCTGGTCGCGATCGGGGTGCAGGTTCCTCTTCTTGATTCATGTGTCAACGGCATGTACTAGGTGCAGGGATGAAACAATAAATTTGTGCTCTCTCGCATCATTCGCGCTAGGCTCCTTTCCTAACGCGACGTTTTGTACTTCATGTGGCTCTGCTGGGTTTTTTTCTTGCACTCCGCCGCAGCTTCATATATCTCGCCGTCAATCGCTCTCGGTTGTCTTTGGGTTCAGAGGAACTGGCGACCAGCAATGAATCGCCAGCCGGTGACCTGTTCAGAGGAACTGCCGACCAGCAATGAATCGCCAGCCGGTGACCTGTTCAGAGGAACTGGCGACCAGCACTGAATCGCCAGCCGGTGACCTGTTCAGAGGAACTGGCGACCAGCAATGAACCGCCAGCCGGTGACCTCGCAGTCAGGAGATGCGCTCCCGGCACGAGACCAGGGGTCGACTGGCAATCTCGGACCCGATGATGCCTCCCAAAACGCAACTGCGAAATATATTTTGTACATTGATTGAAGGAAACCACACTCATTAAGCCTGTAAAAATGGGTCCAGATCCTCTTCCTTGTTTTCAGTGGCATACCATTTTATCATCAATGAAGGCGGTAGAAGGCACTTACAGTGGAAGACCATGTTCAGGCACTGAAAAAACAAGTGACCTTATCAAGGTCTGGAGCCTTCATCAAGGCACACAACGCATTCGGAGAAGAACCAGAAGCACATTTCAAATGGAACTGACTAGAACGTGACGTAGCTAAAGTGGAGCCGACATCAGCGGTGTCGGCAGGCGGTACTTAGGCGTCCTGAGCTCGTCCCGACCACTGCACACGTCACACGAGGTCCTGAAGTCTCACACGGCGCGTGCGACGCTCGTCCTACAGGGCATCACGTCTCCAGCTCGCCGGGCTCGGTCTTTATCCGCACCTCGACCTGCTGCAGCAGCGCCGCGCACTCGGCCTCCGTCAGGCCCGCCGGCTCCTGCTTCACCCGCAGCGTGGCGCCACCGGCGCAAATGTCACTACCGTCGCCGCAACAGGTGGCGCTGCCGTCGCCCGGCGTCGCCCGCTGCCGCTTCATCGCCCTCATCTTGGCGTCCAGCTCTTGCACGACGAACGGCTGCAGGCTGGCCTGCATCTTGACCTTGCTCTTGAGCGGCACTCGGCGGGGGTCGATGGCGCGAAGACCGCTGCTCAGTGGCGTCAGCTGACCACGCAGACGGCTGGCGAACATGCGACTCCAGCGGCTCTGAGAAACAGGCGCCGCAATCACTACACTCATCAAATCGGTTGGAAAACGTTGCATGCGATCTTGTGCGGTATAAGCAACCTATTCCATGTAGAAAAATAACTTATCATGCCTTAGTTGAACCCTCCAAGCTCGAGCTCGAGTTCCTTTTCAAACCGCCACACACATCCCATTCATCCCTAATGATGATTGGTAGCTTTCTGGCGTCCTGGCGGCAAATGTTATTGCATGCCCTCCAAAAACTGACAGCAGATCTTGGTCGGCATCTTCCTTGGTCCATATCCCAACACCTGCACGTTGGCATAGCCGCGTCCCGGACCGGCGGCACTCGTCTCACGCCCCAAAGTATCGCGTGCGTTCCGGACCGCCGCCAGCGCGCCCTGCTGTGTACTGGAGTCGCGCACACCTGGCGCTGTTTACGTTACAGGGCGGGGCTGGCGAGGGGTGTCATGGCACAGCCGGCGCCACCCTCCGAACCGGAACCTGTGCTGCACGCGTGCCAACTGACTTGGCATTCCGGGGCCCGTGCCGAGCGGCTTCCAAGGAAGGCATCAGCAGGCCTTGCAGCACTGTGTCGGATGGATACATTGCAAAAGAGCAGTCAGGGGTTCGGGGAAACGGGGAGGCGCGGGTTTTTATTTCCGAACAGCTTAAGGGATTTAACCTTTTGGTGGTTCATGAAAAGAAAGAAACCCGCAAAACTCATGACCTGCGAGTTCCTGAACATTATACTCGTTTCTGCACCACCTGACCGTCCCTAGCGTAATCCAAATTTCTGACTTCTTACTCTCGTCAGTGAGAGAGCTCGGCCAACATTGGGTCACAAGCCACCAGTCCTCCACGTCCACGCATGAAAACCGCATACTACGGACGAATGGAAAACGTGATACCTCACATGAGAGGTGCAGGACATGTACTAGTGTCTGTGAAGAGCAAAACTTGTCTCAAAACTTTCTGCAGGCTGACTGAGCCTTGCCCATGCAACCTACAAAACTCCAGCAGTGATCTGCGTCGGCCCTCTCCCAGCCAGCCCTGATAGAGGTCCCGCCTCATGGAAGCAAAGCTGAAGCGAGCAGGTACGCCGTTACCTTGACGTTGTTCTGCAGGACGTTGATTTTGACGGGGCTGACTTGCCGCTGCTGGTGCTGCAAGGTCTTCAGCGTCGTCACCTGCTCCGGCACGATCTTGGAGAACACGCACGTTCTGCACTGACTAGATTTCCTACCGGAAAGAATGGCACTATTATTTTGCATGTGCAGGAAAAGTTCTTAAGATTTCTGCGGACGTGTTGTAAAGCGCTAGCGTCGAGGTGTATGCGTTTCTGTGTAGTTCAGCCTCAACAGGAGATGACATAGATTATGACTAACACCTTGTGAGTGTTGAGGGATAAAAAGCACGGTTCGAAGTTAACAATCGGTCCTGACAAATACGCATGTCGTATTTGGACATAGGATCCGTCGGGTGAGTCCTACTTATGTCACAAAATCACAAACCACTAAACTGCACGTCACTACATCACAAAATCATTATCACTCCATCAATAGCATTGCCAAATAAACATTGTCCACTAAATATTGGCTTGGCTCATTCCATTCTAACAAATGTGGACCCCTAATATTTTATGCACGTCTGTGGAACCATGAGGACCAGATGACACCTGACCATGGTGAGCATGCCTGACAGCCCTGACCTGACCGGCAGCCGTGCCCCTCGGCAGCCCTGACCTGACCGCGCGCGCCGTGTGGTGACTGGCGCCATCGCCAGCTGACCTGTAGCGGCGCTGAGCACTGGCCGAGTGGTAGTTCCGAACGTGTTTGTAGTAGTCCAGCTCATCAATGTAGATGCACGAGCAGGCGTCACAGCGAAGACAGTTCTGTAGCGCCGGCGGAATATATCCTCGCGGGACAGACTCTGAAATGGGTGAATCGGTCTCGGGTCCAATAGTTGACGATACGGTCTGCCGGGGTCTGTGGTAGACTGCCTGCTACAGCAGTTTACCACATAGTCTGCTATAGTCTGGCACGCCCAGTCACGCCGAAATCGAGGTGATCCATTCGGCGCCTGACGCAGATCGTACATAATCCAGGAAATGTATTCATCGACGGACTACAGAATATCATTATCCCAAGTCATACCAGTTTAGTCCCGAAGGAACCAATATTTATTCAGCCAGACCCACGGATTCACATTCAGATTTCACATTCACGTTCGCTCGCCCTTAAAGACCCAGTAACCAAACTAAACTCGCCCGCTCTAGTCCCATTATTTTCCTGACTTCATTCACACAGATGAAGGCAGAATGCATCTGATCTCAGTCACACGTATGGCATAATAATCTGTCTGATCTGAGTCACGCATATGGCGTCAGAATCTTATAGCACAAGTTAGACAGAAGGCGACAGAATTCCGCCTTCCTGTGCCCACAGATGGCGAGGGGAGTTTAGTCAATCTGGGGACAATTAAGACGACGGGCGAGTCCGTTCGCATCAAACTGCACGGAGGAGCATATGACTTGCGCGGTTTCGTTTTTCAGAAAAATAGTCACCTATCCTGGCGCGCGCCAGCATACCATCCTACCACAGTCTTGAAAACAAAGCTTGTTCAAATTAGCCGGCAAAAAACGCATTGAATTTGGTTGTTTACATAACTGCCAGGATTACATTGTGTCATTGTGAATGTGGCCACATAATGATGCATTTGGCATGGAAGCAAAATAACAAATTCCACAGGAAGTTATATTGATAGCCAGGTGTCACTGAAATCTGTGTAGGCATTTCACGCGCCCGGGTGGCCGGCTGGATACCCTTCGCTCGGGTGGGGGGGGGGGGGGGATAAAATTTGACACCCCTGAGATCTCAAGAACTATGAGAGCTACAGACACCAAATTCACAGGGTACAGGGTACCCGTACGTGAACTCACTTAGATCAAAGTTTGAGGTTCCTAAGTGATGACTTTCGGGTCAAATAAGGTCAAACAAGATCCAATTCCAGGCTGGTCTTCAAAGAGTCCCCAGAATGTAGATAACTGTTTCTAGCAAAAGTTTGCATGCTCATTTAAGGCCAGCGACCTTGTTTGACCTTTTGAAGGTCATGGCGACCAGAATCATACAAAACTGCTCTGAATTTTGCATCTGAAAAAGCGACAAAGTGTAAGCTAGACAGTATGCTCCTAAAAACTAGATGCTGACCTGGGTCATTTTAGGTCAATGACCTATTCTGACCTATAGAGTCCATGAAAGATGTGGGATGCGGTTCATGCCGGATAATAAATTCGAAATGAGCACCAGAAACTATCCCATACTGCAAGCCTTAGAGTAATGAAACAGGTTGGTTTTGACCTTGGGCTGATCTTTATACCTGACCTAAGGTCAATGAAATTTGCTCATTCAATTGTTGTGCTGTCTGAAAAAGCATTTCAGAGATGTATGGCTTCGTCTCACACTCCATTGCTGCATCAGATTGAACGATTCCCTAGAAATTGACTTTGCTGAAACCATGACCTGACCTCGACCTGCCATACGTCAGCGACCTTACAATGTGCATCTAAATTCTGCCACCAAACGATCCGCTGTTCAGTTGTCTACAGCTATGCAAAATTTGGAAATCGGAAACCAAAAATCGGAACCCATTCTGGAAAAACCTTCGGGGGGTCAATTTGACTCCACCCAAAAGCGTGTTAATGGACATCTCAACCCAATCTGTGCATTGCGACGATATCTGGTAGCTCTCACACTTACACGTGTCGTCCGTGAAGTCTGCAATGTTATCCTTGTCGAAGTTGTGATCATAGATGTTTTTTGGTTCCGAACAATTCTTCGTAAAACTAGAGCCTGGTTGCCCCTGGTTCCAGAACCAAGAACAAGCCAGGAACCAATTTGTGATCACACAGGAGATTGTGAGTGTCACGGAAGCTGTCTTAAGTTTATCCATAATCTTCAGGATCTGTTGTGTTTAAAATGTACTTAGTTCAATGGTAAAATATATGCTCTGCAAGCTTTCAAATATACCACTCAGCACCGTGGGTAAATATCATATGAAGCGCACAGGATATATTCTTACTCAGACAATACAGCTGTTTGTTGGTAAATGACTGGCAAATGGTGGCCATAGCTGGTGTTTGAGAGTGGCGCCAATGTGAATAAGGAACCAGGTTCCGGTGTTTCGTGAGAGCCGCCATCTGGCGTTTGCTGGGGACGAGGCTCTCGTGATTATTAAAAATCTTTGGAAACCAAAACGCCAGACGTGTTGTTCTCAAAAGAATCAATGAGAGCCAGCAGCCAGGGTATGGTGTAGGCAAAAAACGAGCAAGAGCCAAGATCCAAACGTCCCTTTGTTTTATAGTCAAAGATCATTGCGAATCAAAAACCAAACTGGCCATGTTTGCTAGTGATGACTCGCGAGTAGTTGATCACATATTTCAGCGAAAACGGTTGAGCGTACGAAGGTACCCTCAATCGTTAAGTTGAACAACGGTTGAGGGTGCGGAGTTACGAGGGAACAGCGCAAACCACCCTCACCGACAGGTGAGCAATTATCGGGGCTCTCCCCACAACGGGGCTGGTGGGCTCTCACTCCCCAGCCAGGCCATGGATTACTGTCAAAGCATCGTCCGATCAGCGGACAATCAGAGGTTAGCCATGCATGCAGAGCGTGGGCGGCTGGGCCGCAGGCCAGCGCATGCAGCGCCACTGCCCGCGGAGAACAGCCTCGACCGACACGGCTGTGCTCAGCCGGGCAGCGGGGCCAATATCGGGCGGACAGGTGCCACTTGGCTTCTGTGGTTGTTGGCTTCGGACAATAGCTGGTGAATAATGTTTACAGTGCGGTTGGGAAGGTTGTCGATGGAAGAGGCTCGCAGTAATAAGCGTTTGGCTAGACAGGCCCAAATGCCTTCGAAATGGAACATGCCCCAGAACTTCGAATTAAAATGCCCCATAAAGTTTCGGACAGTAACTCGACCTATCAAAACGCAGGCTTTCTTTTCATATTGCCAGCACCGTGCCTTCACAATGCGTCCGCAGGCGCGCCTCGGGTAGACGAGTAAAAGAGTTAACATCCAGGAGGCCCGTTCAGTGCGCGCTGGCCCTGACACAGGACCCGGCATGCCCGAGCGGTCGCGGCCGGCTCACGTTTCTGCGACGACGGGTCCTGTTCGCCCGCTGACGTCGGACTGGGGGACTCCGGCGACGGCGACGGCGACGGCGCGTCGACCGGCTCGGCGGCGTCGGCGTCGACGTCCCGGTGCGCGGCTAACACGCAGTCGGCTGCGTCGGCTCCGACGGCTGACACCTCTGCGGGCAGGGCGGGCAGCCGCGTGATGTCTGACGCATGAGGCGGGGGGCTTCCGAGAGTGCAGGGGGGAGGCGGGTCACGGACGGAGAACCGCGTCAGTGGTGATGGGGGAAAGAGGGGGGGGGGGACGCACCGCCTCTGCAACGCAGATTGCAGATTGCCTCTCCGGCGTTTTGATGGAAAATCTGACGGAGCTAGGCGAAGCAAGAAGCACATTCACAGGAATTGTACATCACAATTGGACATCACCTGTTAATAGTGCTTTGCTCATAACTTGCATTGCCATAAAACAACTTAGGGCCCCGTACAGACAAAAAAATGTTCGGGGGCGTTCAAGAGGGGGGGGGGGGGGGGTTTGATATGACAGTCAGGGAGCTAAACATAACACACATTGCCATGATTTGTTCATATCTTTGAGGAATTATGCGGCCACCACCACCATGGAATCCTCTGTATTTGCCACTTCCTCCGCGGTGGCAATGGGCATGGACATACGGCGGTACGATTCACATGCATACATACAGCTGATCGCCGTGAACAGCTGAGCCCGAGCCTTAGAACAGCTGAGGGTCGTGTGGACAGCTGGGTAAATGTCGCATGTCCCGAACAGATGGCACACGTCTGGAGCACATGGTCCAGCACTTTCAAAAACTAGCACATTCGTTTGAAAAGGGCAGTAGTGGGATCGAATCTGAACCGAGATGTAATAAGCCAAGTGTTACCAGACTGTGGACGTATTATCGTTTATCTGGGCCGTTAGAGATTCAAGCTCATCAACGTGCTGCGAATGCTACTCAATTCAGCGGCACGTCGGATAGGTCTGCCATTCTTGAGTAGAAAATTAGGACGCGCTTGACGTGCTCCTTCTTGTATTCAAAAAGGCCTGCCTCGTCTCTGGATTGTCCACGACCAACGCAGAAAATATTAGTATTAGGTGTGTGGATAAAAAAGCTGCAACAGCGATGAATCATGGCCATTCTACCATGCCTGGCTAATTACGGCTGGATTGTGCATATCCTCATACGCATGTGTTTGCAGAAAGTTTTTTTAGTAGTGTTGCATCATGTGTATAAATGGAACGAACGGGAAAGTTTTTTGCGGAGCGTCATACGGAAACAAGCACCGGTATCTGAACGCAAACGTTTGTATGGCCGCAATAAGGAACGACCCCCCCAGTTCGACCTGCAGCCAACGGTGCCCGGAACAGATGCATGCGCCAATGAAGCATCTGCGTGGGGCATTTCCGTGTCGAGCGTTGTTTCAGTAGGATCTTAATGCCTAGGCTTTGTCCTGGATCAACATTTGGGAAGCAGCATTCGACTTTTACGTTTCTGTTTACACAAAAGCCCGTCGCAGTGTGGCTCCAGAATGAGCTTTCTCCCTGGTCTTCAACGTCCATGTCTGAAAATCAGCAAAATAACTTCAAATGGCCATGATATAGATTTAGCCTACTTCGATGGCTGCAAATGATGCAGCTCATGGAAAAATCCATGGCAGTTTCGCACGTCGCGGTCTTTATCGATATCGTGCCAGATTAACTGCTGTTTAGCAAAAGTCAACACCCGCAGCTACCAAACCGGAAAGCTATGCCCTTAGCCTTAGATTCATAGTCTATGAGATACACAGCCCTTAGATACAAAAGCCATAACGCTGGCAATAACTCGCTGCAGCAGTAAATGGCCTGAAAACCTTGCACCGATCATTGTAGAACCGCCATGAAAAGCTGTAACTTTCCGCCCCTTTTGAGGCGTAGGTGGCATTTCTCTGCGCGACCTCCGGTCGTTTGGCACGGAACCGCATCTAACGTCAAATGGTTATCAATAAGCAGATCGATAAAAACACTGGGAAAGAGAAAGTTGGTTAACGCAGCCTTTGACTTGTAAAATGTAATTTGATGTCACTAAGGGTGGGTTATTTTTCCCATTGCTTCCGAAATATTTTGCTTCCGCAAAAGTTTGACTAGTCTCCACAAAGTTGGGGGACCATCTAGTGTTCCAGCAAAATTAGGCAGGACACCTTCACCTGTGGTGAAGCCCTTGCATATGCCATGCTGGAAGTAGAGTATAGGTGGCAGGTTATCACATGTTTAAAGTAGCTCCGTGGCGTGCGTTCTGCGTTACACCGCTCTGCTACTTTTTCCGATCGCTGTGACCCAATTTTTTCGATCACCCGGAAATTTCCTTCGTTGGTGCGTTTTAGAACGAGGGCGAGTCGGGCGTACCGTGCCCGTTCCAGCGTGCTTCCCAAGAGCACCGCAATGCGGGCGATCCTCCACCGCCTCCCTAGCTGGAAGCAGAGCACCATGGTCCCTCTCAGCGTGTTACCGCGCGTGGGCGAGCGGCCTCGCTGCCGCCCCGGCCTGGTGCGCCGACCCGCACAGCACGCGCCCGCCCGCCAGCTGCGGGAAGACATCACAAAGGGACCGGCAGCCGGCCAGGTGGCCCGGTCCCCACGGACGGACGAGGGGGGGGGGGGGCGCCAGGTGGGTGCCCATCGCGTGGCCGGCCGATCACAGCCCGCCCAGCTGATCCCACCAGGTGACCGGATACAGATCGCTTCCGGCGCTGCCGCGGAACTGCAAGCCAAGCCCCTGGCTAGGACGGAACCGGCGGCGGTGGGTAAGAGGCGCGCACGGGCCGGCGGCGGCGGGTGAGGGGCGCACACAGGCCGGCGCTCCGGAGCCTGGACAGCGGCGCCCTCGCCAAGCCACAGCGGGATGGCTGCCAAGGCGAAGCGCAAGAAGCTAAACAACACGGCACATCGAAAGTGGAGCCTTGTTTAAAACGCGAAGCTGCGTATGATTTCCTGGAAAGCCTTAACGTATCCATAAGCCAAGCCAAGAAGAGCAAGCAACATGCTTTGAATGACATAAGCTACATGAAGCCCTGTTCAAGACGAACAGCGGGCGGACAAACTCAGCGTGACCGAAACGCCGCCAGGGGACAGGGGTCCGGCTCAGTAGTCAGGACGTCGGCGCGGGGTCGGCGGCACCTTACCAGTCATGGCGAGTGGCGTCCGACGCGGAGTGAGGTGCGGCGCGTCCGACCGACCTCGGCGCGCCGGCAGCAGCACCTCTCGCACAACCATGGCCGCTGCGGCCGGGCAGAAGGCGCCGATTAAAAATAGACCGGCGCCAGAGGGCAGGTGCACCGCTCAGGCGGCGGGCCGCGACGGTGTCGACGAGCGTCGCCTCCGACGGCCGGCGGACGTGCCGACGGGCGGCGGCGCTGAAGCCTCGCAGCTGACCGAGGCGTGCGCTCTCTCGCGCGCCGCGGCCGCCTCAGCGGGAGGGAGCTCGTTGCCGGCCGTGGGGACTGGCTGCCTGTCGCTGCTCAGTCGATGCCGTCGGCTAGATGCGCACACGGCCTCACACAAGCCACGACTGGCCCGGGGACTGTCACCCGGCACGGTCCTTCTTCCGAGGGCTCGACTCTGTATGCTGGTCCCAGGCGCACCACTTCGCCCCGCTCGCCCCGCCCCCCGCCACTGTGCCCGGGTCTCGCGCCGCGTGTGAGTGCGGCGCGTCGGGCGGCGGCATCCCCCGCTGAGGCGGCGACAGCTGAGCGGCCGCCCCAGATGCGGGCTCTCCTCCCCTCCCCCCGTCAAATCCGCGCCGCCGCTCCCCCACACAAGGGACGCACCGCCGCTGCAGCAGCCGGCGCACGCCCTTCGGCGTATTTCGGTAGCGCACAGCGGCAGGCGCGTGGAAACCGAACCCGTCGCAAAACAGGACACCGCCAGGGCGAGAGTGACTGGAGACGGAGGGCTGGGGGAAAGGAGCTGTGGAGTGCGACAGAGGGGCGCTGCAGCCATGTCTACGCCGTGGGAGCACTGGGAGCGCCGCGTCATGGAAGCGGAGCGCGCGGGGGCACTGGGAGCGCCGCGTCATGGAAGTGGATACGCGTGATCCTGTCTGATGAGAGCGGCCATCATCCGAGAATCTTCTTTCGATATCTGACAGGCGACCATATCATAGATGACCGGGACGTGTGTGACCGACATAACATAAATGACTGACTGGGACGTGTGTAACCGAGATGTCATAGATGACAGGGCCGTGTGTTACTGGCGTGTCATAGATGACCGCGACGTGTGTGACTAACGTGTCGTAGATGACTGAGATGAGTGTGACCGGCATACCATAGATAACTGTGAGGTGTGTAACCGACATGTCATAGGTGACTGGGCCGTGTTAGACTGGCAATAGGTGTCCGGGACGTATGTGACTAACGTTTCGTAGGTGACTGAGATGTGGGTGACCGACATATCATAGATAACTGTGACGTGTGTAACCGACATATCATAGATGACTGGGACCATGGGTGTAGGGACAGGGGGGGGGGGGGGGTTAGGGGAGCCATGCCTCCCCACTTTTCAAGGTGGGGGAGGGGGCAGCAGCGTCAACTGGACCCCCCACACTTTTCAGATTAAGATTGTGTTTAGCTTACTTTTGCACTACATTAAACATACATGGCGATTTCCATATTTCACCAGCCATCTTCCTTCAGGTGTGTCATCTCTTTCGTTCGCTCATTGGCCATCGCTTAGTGTCACAGCCGCAAAGCCGACGCCGTGCGGCCCATGGAGACTGCAACGCCGGACGTCGAGGCTGTTGTTGCTACGACTTGCGAGTATGCATGTTTAAAACCATACTTCATAGCATTTTTTTTCGTAATAAATTCTGACTGAATCTTAAACATTTTAAGATAAACATAGATTAGCTGTGTTTGTATAAATTTGGGCCCCCTTCTCATCTACAATCTATGTTCAGAGGTCCTCAAAATTTCTGAAGAACATAGAAAAACATGGAACTTAAGTCCATGTGACAATTATTGTACCACCTGCGGCGATCAGGAAGGTTGTTGGCTCAATGAGGGTTCCTGTGCTGATCCGGGGCCAACTGCATGGGTCAGAAGGCCTCACGTGTCAGGGAGGCCTTCTGAACAATGCGATATGATGTATCCTTCTTATGACCTCCGGATCGACCAGGAGATCCTGCCTCTGTCGCCAGAACGACAGCCAGAAGACGCTTCCCGATGGGACAGAATGGCCTTTCAGCCCCCTTGACCGGAAATGGTAATATACCCCTGGTGTTTTACTCAAGGGGCCCTTTGCCCGGAGGGAAATAAGGGGTCCCATTATTGTTGAGTAGAGTTGGGGTCTCATTATTGTTGAATAAAGTGGGTCGAAATGAGCTTAAGAAACGAGCAAGGCCATCCCACGTTTGCGTGAGCACGTTCATTTTTTTTAAAATGGATTAGTGAAACAAATAACATCAAAAGGTCTGAACATGCCCGCCCGCAACCTCGAGAGCGAGGACATCGACGACCTGGGCTGCAGCTTCCACAAAACCGAAGGGCTTCGGCCATTGCAAGTGCCACCAGACGGCGGGCACCGTGTTAATCTGTCTTCTGGACAGATTAATAATTACAGACACACGAAAAAAGAGATTCTACCTTTACTCTTCCAGTTCAACCACCACATACACAGCCCCACTTTAAGGGTCAATCTTTTCTTATGGTCAGTCGATGTGATCAGATCAGTGATCGCACACATGAAATATGGGCTCAAACTGCCTTCTAAATGCAAGATTTGCTGTCATGAAGGGTTCAAAGATGCTGCTTTCAGAAGCGTCACTATTTTCGTCCACACGTTGGGCACGGCTCAATATTAAATGCTGGACCAACGCTGTGCGGCCTACAGAGACTGCAACGCATGGGGTTGAGGTTTTTGTTTCTAAGATTTTCGGGTGCGCATGCTCAAAACTGCGTCACATAACTTGTATCACTAATCGGTTAATGTGTTTAACGGTAATTATTTCAGAAGTGTCGTCATTTTCGTCCGGTGGGTCAAGGCTAAAAGCTAGCTGCCAGACTAACGTTCCGCGGATCGTGGAGACTGCAACGCCTGGTATGGAGGTTTTGTGGTCGATTTGAGGGCGCCCATGTTAAAAAAACACGTTATATAACTTGTACCACTAATCGATTCTGACTGAATGGTGAACATTTTCGTACAAGCATAGCTAGGCCATGTTAATACACATTGTTGACCGCTCCATCTGCGGTCAAATTTTCATCTGCAAATTTTGATCAAACGTATCGATCTAATCTACCTTCACGATGTCCTTAATGTCTGTGGAACCCAGATAAAAACTTCTGACAAAGCCTCTGAATTCTATCGGTTTAAAAAGCTGTCTACGTTGGCTGATGAGCAATGCAATGTCCGTGGGGCCAGTTCATACTTAAGGTAGGCAGCTTCACGGAGGATATTTTTCTGCTGCTGGATAGCCTTATTTGCAGAATAACATAGATGAGTCGAATGGGCAAAATTGTGCACCAGTAAGAAACAGCTTTCCATGCATATCTAGTGTAGCAGCCATGACATTTGAATAAAGGACGATGACAAACTCCATCTCTACCCGCTCTCCCCCCCCCCCCCCCCAGTCATCGGGCTTGCTTTCCAGAAAGTTCCTGAAGTACACCCTGGGCTCCCCCCACCTCTGGAAACGTCGTTCCGACGCCTATGACTTGGACGTATGTGACTGGCGTGTCATAGATGACCGAGACGTGCATGCCTGACGTGTCACACATGACCGGGACGTGTGTGAATGACATCATAGATGACAAGCACGTATGACTGGGTGTATCGTAAGGCGGAGGCTCAGTTTGACATCTTTACCTTCCGCAATTCTCAATCATAGATAAACACGGTCGGTGCAGATCCAACACTGGATCCACGGGCGGAGCTCCGAATAGCGTGGGGGTTACACAAACATGCAACCAGAATGCTTAAAATCTAAGCCTTTGCACGCGCGCGCGCGCGCGCGCGTGTGTGTGTGTGTGTGTGTGTGTGTATGGAGGGGCTTTCCCTCCCTGTTGCATCAGCCAGTGTTGGTGCGACTTAACACAAGTGAAATGTATATGCGTTGTATACTGTTGCACGGTAAAAGAACCACATTAGCATGCTCGCACACCGCTAATGGCCAATAACCCAAGCGCAGCGTCGTGTTAATGCCTTTCCGAGCACGTTGACCTAAGGACAGCCGTGCGGGGAGCACGCACGGCTTCACCCGGGGGGTTGCTGACGGACGGTGGCTCCCTCCCATTCCGTTTCTTTTCCTCGGAAACTGAGCTGGCCGTGAGATCTATATGGTCAAGCGTGCCAATACCTGCAGCTACCGACCAGGCGAAGTCGAATAACAGAGACCGGCAGAAACCTGTCGCACAGCAAAGTGAAAGCCGAGTCGTCGCTACGTCTCAAATCTCATGTCTTGGCGAGATCGAGTGAACTATTTGTCGCCGAAAAGTTTTCTCACAGAACTAGGCACCCGACAAGGTTGGGTGATCCCGCCCAATAGATCTTGCGGAACCAGCTGCCCTCCCGCAGACGCGTGAGGCAGCGAACACGCCGGGATACAGCCTCGGCCAGCGTCACCGCTCCGACCGTTGAGCAGTGATGCGGCAGCTGCCTGACATGTGGACCCATGTGAGGTCTGTCATGGCGGTGCGGGCCGGCCGGCAGGGCAGCCGTGCCACCTGTGGCCAGTTGTGGCGCACTGCTTCCAGGACTGCCGCCGTGCCCTGTGACAAGAAGCGTGACAGGGCACGCCGGTCGCCGGGATCGGAGGCGCCTCTCAACCGCCAGTCTGCCGCAGGCTCACCCGAGTCCTCCAAGCAGACGATGTTTTCGGCTGATTTGTCGGAATGGGAGGCGCAGCCGGCTCGTCTAGGCCTTAGTCCCACACAAAGGGGTGCGTCACCCCCCCCCCCCCCGCCCCCTGATCCCGATACCCGTCACCGATGTTCTGAAGTTAGATTAGATTAGAATGCGGGCTCCTCGGACCCGGAATGACGTGCTGCTGCATAAAGCATTTTTAGTAGCGGTCATCTAATCGTGTGACCTTCCTTTAAACCACCTGGCAACGCAAAACTCATAGAAGTTGAACCTCCACACATTTTGGTGAAACGATTAATGTATTCAATTTACATGACAGGTCACTCACAAAGCATAGCTGGCTGTGTTGAACGCCTTAATCACCACCATCTTCGCAATGGCGTGGCCTCAGATGACGCCCATGATAGTTTTCCACACACCACGATTATGAAACAAGCACTTAGGCGACGACGTACGCACCAGACACCATATTGACACCAACGTTATGTACACACGCCTATGAAATGGACATCACATGGCCAGGATGCCTTCCACAAGGCACAACAAACAATACGCAGGGGAACACACACACAACAGAACCCTGTCCCTGCGTGCTATCCGCGCGCACAGCCAGCACCATCTATGTGTCATGTTTAAGACTTCAGCTTGGATTGAGCTGCCACCTAAATCCCCGCCCGGACGGCAGGCTTGTAGATAATGACTTCATGGATTTTACTAGACAACCACCATCCCGATGGCGCGTGCGTCGAACATGACTGCGGCCTTCCGCTGAGCACGCTGGCTGACAATGCTGCCGCCAACACAGACTGCCCCACCACAACAGCCACAGTAGGCCAAACACACCACGGCTACCACCGCTCACGTGAAGAAGTCGGCCGCCCGCTTCCGTGCCGGAAGCTGCAGCAGGTTGTCAGTGATGCTGGCGGCCGGCGCCGGGGACGCCGCAGCTGGCGTCAGTGGCGTGGGCGTGGGCGTGGCTGGCGCCGGCCGCCGCCGCCGCGCCGGGCTCGGCGTGTAGGAGGCGCGCAGCGCGCGGTCGGCGGAGCGGCCGGCGCGCGCCAGCCGCCGCGCCGCCGGCGACAGCGACGCGAGCCGGTCGAGCGCGGCGGCCGACGGCGACGCCACGTGGCGGCGCGCCGCCTCCAGCGCGCGGCCCTTCTTGTCGCGGTGGCGCGACGAGGCGCGCTCGGCCAGCGCCAGCGCCAGCTGCTCGCGCCGCGAGGCTGCCACAATCCGGAACGGGCTGGCGGGGGGCGCGGCGGCCGGCGTGGCGCCGCCGTCCAGGCGGAAGGGCGAGCCGTCGATCTGACCCCAGGTCATCAGCGGCGACTCGGCCACGCCGGGCGCCGGCGAGGGCGTGCGCAGAAGCTGACGGCCGGCCGGCTCCACCACCTCACGGCCGTCCACATCCACCTTGCCGCCGAGGCGGCGCCGCGCCTGCACCTGCGCCGCGCGACCCACCTCCGCCCGCTGTTCCGCCTCGTTGAAGGGCGTGCTCTTGAAGCGCGTGTTGGCCACATCGATCTCCTGACGGAGGCGGGACCCGCTCGATCTTGTCCTCGGCGGTCAGCGCCAACCCCCGCGGCGCGTACATAAGGTCGTTTTCGGAGCGGTAGCGCCAAGTGGCCACCTGGCCGGGCCGCGGCCCGCCGTCCGCCTGCTCCTCCAGCGAAGGCACGTCCAGCGACAGTAGCGCCGCCTGCCGGTCGTTGTGCGCCGCTTCGGCCGCGTACAGCCAGGGGTGGCGCACGCGGTGCCGGCGGCTCGCCTCGGCCATCATCTCACCGAAGCTCTCGTTGTCCTCGCTGGTGTGCGTGGCCAGGTATTGGTTGAGCGAGAGCGGCTGGGCCGGCTCGTCTTCGGCCCGGTCGACGGCTCCACCCGGGGTGGGCGTCTCCGGGACGGCCGGTGCCTCCGTCGACCACGACTGAGCCGTGTCGGGCCGCGCGCCCGAGCCGTAGCGCGCGCGCAGCTCCTGCTGTCGCGGGGCGTCACCGCACTGCACCGCCGCCAGGTACTCGTCCTGAGCGCGCAGCCGCTTCAGGTCGGGGAAGTAGTCCCGCTCGACGATGCCCTCCAGCTCACGGATGTAGTTGTCCTCGTCCAGCACCGTCTTGCGGAAGCGCTTGCGGCGAGGTGCTGCCGCCAACGGCCGCTTGAAGCCATCAACGAGATCCTGGCCGGCCGGGGTGGCGGCCGCGCCGACTAAACCCTCTGAGTCACTCATCCTTGGATGGCCAGTCCTGCGAACCGAACATTGTGTCACTTAACCAGGGATGTGACTAACTGACTGAAGTGCTTACAGCACTTAGCACACAACATGATGAAATTCAGCTGTCTAGTTATTGGGAAATGGCCTCCTTTGCATGCAGAAGGAGCTGATTTGCTCCACTGTAGTCTTTCCACCTTGATCTTGAACCCATTCCAACTGGAGTGCTAACAGTCTATGGCCTTTCCTATCAGTTTTACATATCTTGCCAAACTGATGTGTTCAGATCACAGCTGATCTATGGATTTTGGTTTTTGTTCTTTGGCAAGCTTGGTCTTTTCAGACCAATGCAATGCCCAATTGATGTCTACCATGATCATGTTTTTCTAACAAAATCAGCTTTCTTTTTCAAATGACCAACTACCATATGGATGTAATCTTCCAGAATGTCACAAATCAATGCAGGGCATACCATGGGGCAATAAACATGGGTACCTTTTCCCAGTCTCTAATATCCCACAACTACTGAACACTGTTAGAAGTACACAAAAATATGCCAATGTGAGATTGGGACTTAGAAATTAAACATCTGCAGGGTACTACATCTAAAACAAACACAATGTTAAGTTAAATCCAATTCTAAATGTGCAGCAGCCTACCATTGAATGAGAAAAAGCAAGCTTCCAAGTCTTGACTCCACAGCCCCTCTTCTCTTATGGTTAATGTGGCAGATAAGCAAAACCAAAATTGAAGGCACAGGGTCTGGATCAGGTAGGTATTTTGGACTTCAATAAATGCCTGATATTGCTAAACAAGCACCTTTATCTATAATGTGCTTAATATTCATCAACTTGTTAATGAAAACATACATCATGATGCAATGACCAATAGCATATCAATCCTGCATGTCTATCTTTATAGCCAATTATCATACAGTGTACAGGATAAAATACACATGCCTCAACTTAACACAGTCCCAATAACCCTACAATGACTTACACTAATTCAGTTACACTTTTTCTCATTCAAACAGGCAATACTAGAAAACAGCACTAGCAGTCAACATAAATGAGTACTAAGTTGTTCACTGTATTAGTGAAGAATATTATTCAGTTAGGTAAGACAGTATTACTAGCTGTATTTCTCAGTAATAACAGGAAAATGAAGATATAGTTGGGTTGATGTTTTGGCAACATGCTTTATGGAAATAACAGCAGAAGTGAATTCACTTATAAAAGTGAATAACGATCAATAGCAGCCAAATTCACAAAGGTAATGTGCCTTTATCAAACCAATAGCAGAAATGAATTCACTTCTGCTATTGTTCCAATAAAGGCATGTTGTCAAAATATCAGCCAAACTAAATCACCATTCTTGTTTCGTTTCTCTCACCGAGGAATAAGGCTAATATTACTGCCTTGTAAATGACTATTAGTCCTACTGAGCAGCCACACACAACAAAATATGAATGATGGCTGACTGTCAAAAGGTCAAGAAAGAGTGAAATTGGGGCAATTCTCAGCTTAGGCCCCACATAAGGCCAACAAATCAAACACACAAGCCATACATTGTTGGTATCAGCAAATGTGCCATAAATTAATTTATCCTTTTAACACCACACAAACATGAATTTATCCTTGCATGGCGCTTGAAATACTCAATTTGTGCGCTGGATTCAGTCTTTTCAATCTGTTTTGAGAATTACGAAGCATATCATGTTAGGAATATTTGAAATGTTGCAGACACGAATAGCATGGACCACCCCAGATACCTGAATACTTGGTAATTTTTTACTTGGGTACCTGTATGGCCGACGGAGGGAAGAGCTACGCCAGCTGCAGGGTTTCGAGTATTGTCGTGCGGGGCAAAAGCTGTGAGGCATCAGCTAACATTGTGACGTCACTGAAAATGGTTTTGCATCGATCGGGATCGGGGTTCTTTCGGGCCGACTGAAGGCCATAAGGCTTTTGCTTGTGACATGGTGTCACTGGTATTCGGCTGGATATGTGACGTCACTGGTCGTGAGTGTGTAAGGCTCTTTTGGGTCCACTGAATGCCGTAATGCATCAGCTGGCCATGTGTCGTCACTGGTATTCGATTGAACATCAGGCGCGGCCGGCCTCGTTCCATCTTTACTTTTCGTACCTGTCTGCTGCACGCATTTGCGTGCCGCATAAAGGTTTGACCGAATTACCCCAATGTGTGACGTCCCTAATCATCACTTCATACGAGTGCACTTAGGCCTCACGACCATGGTGTGTCGTGGTCCGCAAAGTATCACCGGATAGCGTGACGTCACTGGTATTCGAATAAAAACTGGGCGCAACAGGCCGTGCTTCATTTTTACCTTTGTACTTGTCTACTGCAAGCATTGGCGTGCTGGATGAAAGCTGCCGAACCACCTGAGTGTGCGACATCACTGGCCATGAGTTCCAACGGTGCTTTTCGGCCAACTGAAGACCACAAGGAGTCAGCTAACGACGTCCCTGCTATACGACTGTAAGACGTCAATGGCCGTGGGTTTCCACGGGCCCTATAGGACCGACGAAATGCCGTTAGGCATCAGCTGGCGACATGACGTCACTGGTATTTGGCTGAACATCAGGCAACAGGTCATGCTCCATTTATACCTTTCGTACATGTCTGCTGCAAGTATTGGCGGATTTTTTGTGCGGCCAACTGAAGACCATAAAGCATCAGCTAACGATGTGACGTCGCTGGCACTCGACTGTGCGTGTCGCTGGTCATGAGGTTTTACGGCCTCTTTTGGGGCGACGAAAGGTCATACGGCAATGACTGAAGATGTGACGTCACTGGTATTCGAATGAACTTCGGGCGCGACAGACCATGTTCCACCTTTATCTTTGGTACCTGTCCATTGCAAGCATTGCCGTGGAAGGCTCTGCCAAATTACCTGAGTGTGTACGTCACTGACCATTAATTTGCACACTCTTTTGAGCCTACTATAGGCCACAAGGCATCAGCTGACGATATGATGTCACTGGGTTTCGACTAGACATCATGCGCAACAGGCCATGCTCCATCTAAGCCATGCTTCGTCTGTACCTTTCGCACCTATCTACTGCAAGTATTCGCGCGACACAGGGGCTCTGCCGAATTACCTGAGCGTGTGGTGTAACTAGTTATGAGTTAACGCGGGTTTACTCTGGCTGACTGAAGGACATCAAGCATCAGCTGACGATATGACGTCACTGGTATTCGACTAAACTTCAGGCGCGACAGGCCATGTTCCATCTTTACCTTTCGTACCTGTCTCTTGGAATTATGGGCGTGCTGAATGAAGGCTCTGTCGAGTCTCCTGAGTAAGTAACGTCACTGGTCAACAGCTTTTTACGGGACCTTTTGTACCCCCAAACGGTATAATGCATCAGCTGATGATATGACGTCACTGGTGTCCGACTTAACATCAGGCGCGACAGGCCATGTTCTATCTTTACCTTTCGTACCCGTCTATTACAAGTATTGACGTGCTGAATGAAGGCTCTGTCGAGTCTCCTGGGTGTGTAACGTTACTGGTCATGAGTTTTTTCTGGCTCCTTGGAACCCTCTATAGGGAAAAATGCATCAGTTGACGACATGATGTCAATGGTGTTCGACTTAACATGAGGCGTAACAGGTCATGTTCCATCTTTGCCTTTCGTACCTGTAAAGTATTGGTGCGTTAAATGATGGCTCTGCCGAGTCACCTGAGTGTGCGACGTCACTGGTCATGAATTTTTACCAACTATTTTTGGCTGAGCGAAAGCCATAAGGCATCAGCTAACGAAACGACGTCACTGGTAATCCACTGAGTGTGTGACGTCACTGGTCATGAGCTTTTACGGGCCTTTTTTGGCCGAGTTCAGGTCATTAGGCATCAGATAACGTTATGGCGTCACTTGTATTCGAATTAACATCAGTTGCAATAAGCCATGTTTCATCTTTACCTTTCACACCTGCCTACTGCAAGTATTCGTGCGCTACAAAAAGACTCTGTCGATTCGCCTGAGCGTGTGGCGTAACTGGCCATGAGTTTGTGCAGGTTTACTCGGGCTGACTGACGGACATCAAGCATCAGCTGACGATATGACGTCACTGGTAATCGACTAAACTCCAGACGAATCATCTGAGTGGGTGACGTCGCTGGTCATGAGTTCATACGGATTCACTTGGGCCGCCCAAGGCCACAAAGCAACACCTCCCGTGAAGCATAACAGGATGATATGTCGTCACTGTTATTCGACTTAACATCAGGTCCAAAATGCCACGTACTTTCTTTACCTTTTGTACTTGTTTATTAAAGGTATTGACGTGCTGAATGAAGGCTCCGTCAAATCTCCTGAATGTGTGACGTCACTGGTCACGAGTTTTTTACGGGCTCCTTTGAACCCATTTTAGGTTATAATGCATCAGCTGATGACATGACGTTACTGGTGCTCGACTAAACATCAGGCGCAACAGGTCATGCTCCATATTTGCCTTTCGTACCTGGCTGCTGCAAATATTCGCGTGCTATATGAAGGCTCCGCCGAATCACCTGAGTATGTGACGTCACTGATCATCAGTTGGTAGGAGGTCACCTGGCCACCTACGGCTACGGAGTTCCGCAGCAGAGGTGGGAGATGCACCATAGTTAAGCACACCAATTTTATTGTGCGCACCATTAAGTAACAACTTCAAACGCAATGGGCTGTTTCAACGACTAAAATTTTGAACAAACGTAAACACAAAACAAAGGTGATCCCAGCCCACAAACCGACGTATATGCAAAGCTATTCCGCCCGACATCACAGGATGCGCCCCTGAGCAGCTACGGTCCGGAATGCCCTGATGGCTAAATAATAATCAAGGGCGCCGCCTAGCGGCCATAAGTCTGGGCCACAGCCCGAATATCAGTGACGTCATATGGTCAGGTGATGCTTGATGTCCTTCAGTCAGCCCGAGTAAGCCCGCGTAAACTCATGACCAGTTACACCACATGCTCAGGTGATTCGGCAGAGCCTTTATGTAGCGCGCGAATACTTGCAGTATAGAGGTGCGAAAGGCAAAGATGGAACATGACCTGTTGCGCCTGAGATTAAGTCAAATACCAGTGATGTCATATCGTCAACTGATGTCTTGTACCCTATAGGTACAAAAAAGCAGCCCGTAAAGAACTCATGATCAGTGACATTACACACTCAGGAGATTTCACAGAGCTTTCCTTAAGCATGTCAATGCTTACAATAGACAGGTACGAAAGGTAAAGACGAACATGGCCTGTCGCGCCTGGTGTTAAGTTGAATACCAGTGACGTCACATCGCCAGATGATGCTTGATGTCCTTCAGTCAGCCCGGGTAAACCCGCGTAAACTCATAACCAGTCACACCACACGCTCAGGTGATTGGGCAGAGCCTTTATGTGGCGCGCGAATACTTGCAGTAGATAGGTGCGGAAGGTAAAGATGAAACACGACATATTGTATCTGATGCTTAATTGAATGCCAGTGACGTCATATCGTTACCAGATGCCTAATGGCCTTAAGTCGGCCCAAAAAGGCGCGGGAAAACTCATGACCAATGGCGTCACACACTTAGTGGATTACCAGTGACGACATATCGTTAGATGATGCCTAATGGCTTTCCCGGCCAACAATAGCCTGTAAAAACTCATGATGACGCACTCAGGTGATTCGGCAGAGCCATCATTAGGCTCGCCAATACTTTAACAGGTGCGAAAGGCAAAGATGGAACATGACATGTTGTGCCTGATGCTAAGTCGAACACCAGTGACATCATATCGTCAACTGAAGCATTATACCATATAGGGGGTTGAAAAGAGCTCGTAAGAACTCTTAACCAATGACGTGATATAACACGCGAATGCTTGCAGTAGACAGGTACGAAAGGTAAAGATGGAACATGGCCTGTTGCGCCTGATGTTGAGTCGAATACCAGTGACGTCATATCATCCCGCGATGCTTTACAGGATATGATGCTTTGTTGCATTGGGCTGCCCAAGTGAACCTGTATAAACTCATGACCAGTGACGTCACGCACTCAGATGGTTCAGCATCACCTTGATATAGCACGCGAAAGCTTGCAGTAAACAGGTACGAAAGGCAAAGATAGAGCATGGCCTGTTGCGCATGACACCTAGACGAAAACCGGTGACGTCATATGGTCAGCTGATGTGGTATGGCTTACAGTGGGTTCAAAACAGTCTATACAAATTAATGGTTAGTGACGTTACACACTCAGGTAATTCGGCAGACCCTTCCTTCAGCATTCAAATACTTGCAATGGACAGGTACCAAAGGCAAAGATGGAGCATGGCCATGGCCGCCTGAATTGTATTCGGATACCAGTGACGGCACATCTTCAGTTAATGTAGTATGACCTTTCGTCGGCCCAAAAGAGGCCGTAAAATCTGATCACAAGTGACATCACACACAGTCGAATGCCAGTGACGTCACATCATTAGGCTATGCTTTACGGCCCTCAGTTGGCCCCCAAAGATCCATAAAAATGCATGACCAGTGACGTCACACACTCACGTGATTTGGTAGCTTTTATTCATCACGCCTGTGCTTGCAGTAGACAGGTACGAAGCTAAAAATGAACCTTGACCTGTTGCGACCAATATTTAGTCGAATATCACTGACGTCACGATACCCAGTGATATTTCACGGAACATGATACACCGCGGCCGTGGGGCCTAAGTGCACTCGTATCAAGTGGTGATTGGTGACGTCACACATTCAGGTGATTCGGTCAAGCTTTTATTCGGCACGCAAATGCTTGCAGCAGACAGGTACGAAAGGTAAAGATGGAATAAGGCCCGTTGCGCCTGATGTTTCATTGAATACCAGCGACGACATATCGTCAGGTGATGCTTTACGGCATTCATTGCACCCAAAGAGCCCTAAAGCCTCACAACCAGTGACGTCACATATCCAGTCGAATACCAGTGACATCATATCGCTAGCAAATGCCTTGTAGCCTTCAGTCGGCCCAAAAGAACCCAGATCGATGCAAACCCATTTTCAGTGACGTCACTACGTCGGCTGATACCTAACAGCATTTCTCCATCATGGCAGTACAGGAACCCTGCAGCCAGCGTAGCTCTCTCCCCACCGTCGGCAATACAGGTACCCAAGTAAAAAAAAGCCAATACTTTGCGTGAGCATCAGCCTCCCCCCACCCTGCACCGCCTGCACCACGTACACCACCAACTAACCTTGGACACGAAACGCATATATCGTGTATGGCATTGCGCGAAGTTGCGCTAAATTTGCGCTGCGTGTATTGGTGTGCGAAGTGGGGAGGTGAGTATCAGCTGGCTGATGACGCCAGTGGTTACAATTTGATATCGATCTAAGATGAGCGTTTCGTTTTTATACCAAAGAAAGTAGCCAGATTGCCAGCGTATGCATATCATTTAGCCGAATCATTATGAACCTACTACTTGGAAAATAATTTAACCTCGAATATCAAGGTCTGTCTACCTGTTGTTGCAACCATTGCACAACAAATACTATCGATGAATTCACTGCGTACGCCGCATAAGCCTATTGGTAGGCTCATGTGCCTTGGTCTTTTCTGCACGTAGGCCAAATTGCTTCTGACTGTTTTTGACCATTGCCGAATCAGCTTATACATCGTGAACAATTAACATATTAAACGACAAAACTTTTCCAAACAAGCATTCAATCCCTGATGTCATTTGATATCAACCACCCCGAAAAGATATTAAATGCCTGTAAATTTATGATACAGCTTAAGTGTACCCGTGTTAGCAATACTTCCGGTTGCTCTCTTGTATCTGAGTACGAATCGTCATAAATCGATAACAAATTATGACCATTGACGTCAAGAGAGACAGCTAATACCTCAATTTTGAATCGTACATCAAGACACACACCTTGAACATAGCATTGGTTCGCGCACCGACGGACGTAGGGGCATCACAGGTAAATTTGGCCGATTGTTAGGCGTTCAGTCATTGCCATGAGCCTGCCCATGAGGTATTCGTGCATTCCGGGCCTATTTGTGATGATAGTGAATTGCATATCTATCGTTGCGTGTGGGCAAATGATGTTCAATGTTCAACAATAATTCACCCCCGAAACAGGTCTTCTGTTTACACTATCAAATATATTTATTTGGGGTACCTTAGTATTTTTCTGAGACATCAAACAAAAACAGCTGTAAAGATTTAATTCAAAATCACCTCTTTCCTAGTATATGCAATATGATATATATAAAGCCACACTCCCCTAGTGAAAAACTTATATGATAAAATTATTGGCAAAAATCATATAATTTTCCTCAAGAGGCAACCTACAGCCCACACATGAGCTGTGAGTAAGCTAGGCAGCATTTTCTAATGTTACATCAAATTTTCTCAGGTTACAAATGCTGCATTTCCCTGATCATTCCTGTACCTGTGATGTACATAATCCATGTTGTGTAAAGTTCCAGGACTGAGGTCTGTGTTTGAGCAGCTTGTCATCGCACTCTATGTGTCATACCTAAGTCAAGTCATGCTTAGTTGGTTATACAATATGTATAATTTTAAGTTTTAGGAAGATATTCAAAAAAAAATTGTATGCCCAGTTGCCCACAGAACATTTTTGTCAAGTAGGCAATTGCTTTTTTGGTCAGATCAACTTCAAATGCATGCAATTCTGGCAAGGCACAAGTCAGTGCATAAAATGGTGGGACAGTTGGCTGGAACCTGGTGGCTAATGCCAAATATTTCATGCAGCAGCTTTTCCAGTGATCTATTTATACTATTGCTAAAAATACATGTTATCTAATCATGATGTGGACTAATGTTATTTAAGGTTGACATTGTCTTACTGCACTGTTTCCATCAGACTTGAAGGTCCCTTATATAGGTTGTTGTTGGCCCTGCATAGATCTAAAATTGATGAGGTTTTCCACAACCCTTCTTTATTTTAGTGTAAACCTCTCCAATCTCCTTAGTATATGCTGAAAGGCAAGACTTTCAGGCTGTTTGAAAGTTACTGGGTGTACAAATGAATAGTATGGGTAGAATTTGTGTATGCATCAGGAAATGTTGGTGATAAAAACATCTGTGGGCATGGAATTTGCAGGTGCGAATTTTTGCTTGCAAGCATTTGTTACACAGCATGTGGACAAATATTTGCCTACCTAGTATTGTGTGCAAAGAATCAGGATTCAGAGGTCCTCCCACAATGTTTTGCCCTTGATAAAACAGATAACAAGCATACGTGATGCAAGCTTTTGCCTGGTCATAGGCTTTTTCTATCCCTGTTGGTTTTATAAGAGTGACGTCCATACAGGATGGCGTGCTCAGCTAAACCTGCACTTCCCTATTCACAGGAAATAGTTGGACAATGCTGCCACCATGACGGTGCAGACGTGGGTACCAGTCAAGGATGCTGAGCGGTTCGCCGTGGGTAAGAGAGAGTGCTGTCCTGGCAGCGAACTTATTGCGTGGTATGTGATGTATTGCCCTGCTGTAATCATACTGTACACCATCACTGGAATGGGAATGTGTGACACAAGACATATATATGTCAACACATGACCATCACCAGCGGCGGTCGTGGTTTCCTCCGCCACACAGTCGGGCTGCGGTGGCCCGGTGAGTGTCGCTCGGTCCCGTCCTCCTCGGGTCCGCATAACCCGGCGTGCCGATCGAGGGCCGGGTGCTGCACGCTCATGGAGGGGCCAGTATCGGCCGTCGACGGCCGACCGCTGTTCCGCTGTGGGCGGAGCGGCGCGCACCGACCGGGCGCGGCCCTCCTTCCGGGGGCGGCCGGACGCCGGCCCGATAAGGGAGGCCGCCAGAGCAACCGGACGCGCCGCTCTGCCCCGGTGGTGGCAGGCGCAGCGCCGACGCGGGGAGGCTGGGCGGGCGGACGCCCGCCGGCCTGGGCCGGGTCAAACTGGGGATGCCTCTGGCATGCGCTGCGTGTTGGAAGAGATTGTGTCATGCGAAGAAGCCACCACAAACGCTCTGCAATGAATGGGCCGGACCAGTGTGAGGCGCGTCACGGTCGCGGGAGTCACGCAGTAGGCGATATACCTGAGTGGTGCGTGTTACGCGCAGATAGCTAAACGAGGCCGAAAACGGCCCCGTTTCATTGAGCGAACGGTGCTCTGGTACTCAGGAGCTTGCTGGCGGGTAGCCATCCGGTATTAACGCCCGAAATTCGCCGCGAGTCTGAGGGCGGGCCTTTGGAGACGGGAGCCGGAGACGCCAGGCTTCTGCTTGACTTCAATGGTCGGAGTGGCGTACTATCGGCATAGGACGTTATAAACTGACTCACGAATAGTGGGAAAAACATTGTAAGCACTAGGTCTGCTCAACCAAAATTTTGTTTTGGGGGGGGGGGGATATGATAGGACTAACTTATTCTGAAGAAAGTGACCATACTCCTTGGTGCGGTGAGCCAGGAGTCCAGCAGAACAGTGCATAGAAAACAGCGTTTTGAAGTGGGAGATCTGAGCTTTTAACTATGATTGCAGGCGAACGAGGCATGCGGTCGAAATCGGACACATTTAATCCAAGACCACTTATGTGCAATTAAATTAAGACCTGAAAAGCACACTCCCTGCTGCGCGAGACGTATATGGCAGAACCCCTGCTTTGGAAGGACCATTTTACGAACGATATAGGCATAGGAAGGTGATCTGACGCCGGGTACTGATTCCCTTACGCATTGGGATGTCATCGGGGCGAGCATAGGGTGTGGACGTCATGGTTCTAGTCTCAGACAGTTGACGGTCGTACTCCCGTCCGAGGGCGACTAAAGCTGCTGCCGCTGCTCGTGCCTCGCCCCCCCCCCCCCTTCCACCCCTCCCCCCCCCTTTCACTTGTTGTGGGGCCGGCAGCCGTCTACAACTTCGTGGGCGCGGGACCGGAACAGATCCAGTTCTCCATCGGCGAGACGCTGCACATTCTGCAGCGATGCGGAGACTGGTACTACGGCTACACACTGAAGAACAGGGCCTTCCGCGGCATCTTCCCTCGCGGCTTCGTCCGCATCAAGAAGTGCATTGTCGACAAGTCACTGTGAGTGCCCATTCCTCATGAGGGTCAGGTTCCAGGAAACGAAGTGACGAGCCTGAGCACTTTTAAGTCACGTTTTGTGGACTTAGGACTAAAAGACTAGAAACAGCTTAGTCCAAACGAAGTTTCCTATTTGACAGTGGCTGCATGAGCGGAAGTCAAGCAAAATCGCCTGGTTTCCGACGCAAAGCACGCGACTTAACTTCCAAATTCGCAAGTTCACGTTTTTGCTCTATGAAGATAGGTCCAGCATTTTGTCAGTCGTGCCTGTTCTGGACGACAATATCGATTCGAGTTTGAAATTCCTAGTCGCTGTATGTGGTCCTGTACACCTGCTTCAAGTCTGATTGCGTGGTATTTCCGGTCTGCGAAGGCAGGCGATCGCGTTCCGCGCCCAACTGGAGCTACTTCAGCGCGCACTCCGTTACCGCTCGTGGGCGCGCCTTTCCCTCCGTCTACCGACCCATGACCGTTCTGGCCGTTCGTGGGTGTGCCGTGCCCTCCGTCACCGACCCGTAACCGTTCCGACCGCTGGTGGGCGCACCGTACCCTCCGTTTACCGACCCGTGACCGTTCAGGCCGCTGGTGGGCGCACCGTACCCTCCGTTTACCGACCCGTGACCGTTCCGACCGCTGGTGGGCGCACCGCGCCCTCCGTGCTCCGACCCTTGACCGTTCAGACCGCTGGTGGGCGCGCCGTACCCTCCGTTTCCCGACCCGTGACCGTTCCGACCGCCCGTGGGCGCGCCGTACCCTCCGTTTACCGGCCCGTGACCGTTCCGACCGCCCGTGGGTGCGCCGTACCCTCCGTTTACCGACCCGTGGCCGTTCCGACCGCCCGTGGGTGCGCCGTACCCTCCGTTTACCGACCCGTGACCGTTCCGCGTGCCGTCCTGGCGCGGGGTGCTGCCCTGCCGGCGGGGCCAGCCGTGGCGAGGCGTCGCGTCGCCCGTCGACCGGCCTGTGTCGTGTGGCCCGCCGGTGGCGGTGCCGTCGTGTACCGCCGCCTCTGACCGGTACCACTGGCTCTGTGGCAGCGGCACCGGCGCCGTCATCCCGCGTGAGAACCCTCTAGTCCACGAGATCACCTCGGTGCTCAGGGAGTGGGGACAAATATGGAAGACGCTGTATGTGGTGAGTGTGAGCTGACTGATAACACGCTCATCGGCCGCGGGCGGAATGTCCACCAAATGCGTGTCGGAAAGTCATGTTGCGATGTCAGACGCGGACTTGGGTTTTTCTTCTGTAGGTCCCGGATTGGTCGGGATCTCGGAGCTTGGGTGCGACTTGCAACACGTGTTTTTGGAATGTTGATTCGGCGTTATTAGCGCACCGTGCGTTTCTCCGCGTTATGAGCGGCGTCTGTCGTGTTGAGTGTGTTTGAGTGTGCAGCCCGCGGTTGTGCCGCACCGGCCGTCCACCAGCGGCCGGCGCTCACCGAGCTGCCGCGTGCGCAGGGCCGCGACGGCCACATGTCGAAGGTGGCCGACATGATGGACGAGCTGATCCGACACCGGCGCAAGATCATCTCAGGCACGCTGCCCACCGACGAGCTGCGGGAGGTCAAGCGACGCGTCACGGCCACCATCGACCGCGGCAACCTGTGAGTGCCCTGCGCGCGCCGCCGGCGGCGGCGGCAGTGCCGCGTGTCGTCCAGCGCCGGCGCTGTCCGGCGCCGCGCCGGCTGGCTGGCGTGTCGTGCTGCCGCACTGTGCTGTGGTCTGTGAGGTGCTGAGTGTCCGTCGCCTATGTTCGTGACCGTGTGACGTCAAGTGCCGAATGGGGCCACTGGCCGCGTTGGGGCGCGGAGACACGCAGTCATTGCAGGCGGAGGAGGGTATGTGACACCGCCATGTGGTTTCTGGCAAGACTGTAACGGCTTCTTCGTCCTGCGTGGCGTGTCGCCCAAACGGTGACAGTGGCGCTGTGGGAGACGGGCCGACAGTGCCCGCCTCCGCCGCGTCGCGGGCGGTCCGCGAAGGCACGGCTCGGTGCCGGTCAAGCCTTGGCTGGCCAGCTGACAGCGGGCGCGTCTGTGACGTCGCCGGCAGTGTGCTGGGGCTGGACCTGGTGGTGCGCGACGAGCAGGGCAACATCCTGAACCCGGACGTGATCTCGGCCGTGCAGCTGTACCGGCAGCACGAGCAAGCCACCCGCCGCCTCAACGAAGGCCTGGTCAGTGGTGGCCGCCGCCCACCCGCCGGGCCGGGCCGGGCCGGGCCGTCTGTCAGGACAGACCGCCCGCGCCGTAGGGCCGGCTGGACGCGCGTCAGCCGCAAACCTCCTGCATGGTTGGCATAACGGGGGGAGGGAATTAGCCAAGAATAGCCCTGGTAGCGGAGTGCACATGTTTTCGTGGCTGGGTGCAGCGTTGTTGACTTGTGTTGCAATCAATTGGGACATAGTTAAGCTTTACATCGTTTTTTAGCGTGCAAACAATGATCTTAGCGTTATTCGGTGGCTGTGTTATCTTGTTACATGACATATCGCAATATTTCATTAACATCCTTTGTTAAACTGGATGTACATGGGTGGTGTCTTTTTTGCAGTATGCGAAGGCTAGCAACCACTGATTCAGTGGCCATCCACTCAAATTACGCAGACAATTTCTTGAAGAAAGCTGATGTATGTTGCCGGTTGCATTCTTTGCATGTGTCAGTGTGTATTACTTTCGGCTGGCAGCTCAGCTGACTACTACGCGACAAATGCTCCGCCCCAATGCTGTAGTGTAGGGTACAACACCACATAGTATCAGAGTAGTGAACCAGTGACAGGAACATACAAAGGTATAGCCGCCAGTGGACTAGGTGGAGCTCGGAGCGTGGTACATTTGGAAAATGTTAGGCCCTTTTGCGTTTTGACCAGTCGCCTAACGCAGCATCATGTTAGGTAAGACCCCGGTACAATTTACATATAGTCCATAGTTGTTCTTACAGGTCCCAATAAGCGTCAAGCTGGAATTGCGGTGCCCCATCCTGCTGAGTGTCACGTGTTTTCCTGACACAGAGAGACGAAGTGGCTAGTTCCTCGCGAGGCTGTCTTCATGTTGTCACTGCGGGGGTATAGAAAGCTAGCCAGCCGCAGACCGGAAGCAGAAAGCCTCCTGGTGTGCGTAACACTAGCACGCGCGGCCGGCTTCTTCGCACGCCGACTGACAAGAGCCAGATCCCAGCGCCTGTCCTCCCCGTCGGGCTGTGTGTCCATGTTGTCCGACATATCGAACGGGAGTAACATACCACCTGGTGGCGCGCGCCGTCTGACGGTGCCTGACATGTGTCCGTGTGCGTCTGTCAGGGTGACGGTTCGACCACCAGTCAGCAGGGGCCGCAGCACAACAGCCACTGCCTGTACGTGACGGTGCGCAACTGCGTGTGCCGCCTGGACGAGGACGCCGAGATCATACTGTTCCTGTACGACGCCGCTGCTGACCAGGTACGAGGGGTGGGCTCGGGAGGGGGAGGGGGTCAGACTGGTCGACTGTGAGGGGGGGAGGGCAGGTCAGGCGAGGGCGGCGACTGGAGGGAGCAGAAGGGGCCGGCTGGAGGAGGCAGGAAGGGTCGGCTGGCGGGGGGGGGGGGGGGGAAATAGGCCGCCCCATCAGGCCAGGCGCTAGCGGATGTGGAGAGCGGGAGAAGGTTGTGATTTCTTGCGCTGTGGCGTCTCCCTACGCCTTGCCTGTCCGATTACCCGACTTCTTGCGCTTCATGCATGTTTGCGACTGAATGTCAGTGTAGGACGTATGCATGCTCGATCACGCGTCACACCTTCACGATGTCCGACTTGAGCGTTGAGGGGACGGGATCACGCGTGGCTCATCCCTCAGCGAATGCCCAGGTTTGGATTGGAATCGTCGCGACGCACGGAGCAGGCGCCTGATGTGTCATGTCATACGGCCAGGTTCTGACGGAGAACTACGTGGTGAGCTGGAAGGAGGGTTTGGAGAAGAATATAGAGCAGCTGAGCAGTCTGCGTGTCCTCTTCACGGTACGGCCCGGTCGCTGCCGCCACCTCCGCTATTTGCAGGCTTCGTGCGGGACCCCAGTCGGGACCCCCGTTGTCGTGTTTGCCGCCCGCCTCCGGCCTGCAGAAACTGCGAGGCCTTGAGCTGGCTAGCCGTCCCCCTGCTGCATACTGCGCGCTGGCTGGTGGCAGTACAGGGCCGCTAGCCAGGTGCGTGCACGCCGTTTCCTCCGTTATCTCGCGCAAAACAGAGAGGAGGCGGGTTAGCGTGTGGTTACCACGGTCACTTCGTTCGCCAGATGCGAACAGGGACACCTTTACGCCACGCGCCCTGACGCGGACATGGCGCCCTGACCCTGACACGCGACCTGAACTTTACACGTGTCCTGATACCTGACCCTGACGCGGCGTTCATCGGACAGGACCTGAGCAACGGCGACATCGCCCTGCCGCGCCTCTTCCTGGCCGGCTTCGTGGTCAAGGTGGGCACCTCGGCCCGCCAGGAGATGACCACTGCCCGCCGCTCTATGCAGGCCTCGCACAAGGTAAGCCGCTGGACCCAGTCGCCATGTGGCGTCGCTGGTATCTGGTCACACGGAGAGCTTGGCGTGCCGGTGAAGCGGATGGGAAAGTTGCATTAGTGCCGCTGTGAGCCGCTGTCGTCGGCCGCGCGTGTGGTCGGGGGTGTTGGACCGTGGGCTGACGCTGGGGTGCTGGTTGCAGAAACGCACGGTGAGTCTGGGCCCCCGGTCTGGCGAGCTGTGCGGGGTCTCCGGGGCCCGCACTTGGCGCGGGGTTCAGGGCGAGCCCAGCTGTTAGTCCCACCAGACGTCTCTTCAGTGTTGTCAGTCCCACCAGACATCTGTTCAGTGTCGTCAGTCCCACCAGACGTCTGTGCAGTGCCGTCAGTCCCACCAGACGTCTGTTCAGTGTCGTCAGTCCCACCAGACGTATCTGCCCGCATCCGGCGTTGCACTTTCGCCTGCCACAGCTCCCACGTATACAAAGGCACCTGTCTGAAGTCTAGCTCAGAGCTAGCTCATCTCCACCCGATTCGTCGCGTTTCCGCGGTCCGTCCCGCCGTCTGTCGTAAGAGAGCTGTTTGCTGGGTCGGCTTTCCGCGGGCTTCTCGCGTGTGTTCAGGTTCGGCCGCGGGAGCTGTCGGTGTTCGGACACCGCCCTTGGTCTCGGCGTCAGAGTGTGGGCCCAGGCGCGGGACGGAGTTGCCATCGGGAGCTGTCAGTGTCCGGACACCGCCCTTGCTCTCGGCGTCAGTGTGTGGCCCCAGGCGCGGGACGGAGTTGCCATCGGGAGCTGTCACTGTCCGGACACCGCCCTTGCTCTCGGTGTCAGAGTGTGGCCCCAGGCGCGGGACGGAGTTGCCATCGGGAGCCGGGGCGCGATGGTCAGCCAGGAACTCACACGGCGCCCTCCCGTCGACAGCCGACCAAGAAGGCGGTGGAGATGTGCCGCCGGCCGTGCGGCGCCGTGGCGTTCGAGCTGTCGCCGTTCTTCAGCGGCCAGCACACGGACGAGGACGGCGTCGATCGGTTCATGCCGCTGATACCGTGAGGAGAGAGCGAGAGAGGCGTGGGCACCGCCGCCAGGCGAGCTCATGTCGCCGGCGTGACCCAGCTCACTGGCCCGGGGCCGCCAGCCGGTCGGGATGCTGGGCGTGTGGAGGTGATCCCGCGCTGACTCATGTGGCGCACGTCTGGGGTGATTCCGCACTGGCTCGTGAGGCGCACGTCTGAGGTGATCCCGCGCTGGCTCATGTGGCGCACGTCTGGGGTGATCCCGCGCTGGCTCGTGTGACACACGTATGAGGTGCTCCCGCGCTGGCTTGTGTGACGCACGTCAGAGGTGATCCCGCGCTGGCCCGTGAGGCGCACGTCTGAGGTGATCCCGCGCTGGCTCGTGAGGCGCACGTCAGAGGTGATCCCGCGCTGGCCCGTGAGGCGCGCGTTAGAGGTGATCCAGCGCTGGCTCATGTGGCGCACGTCTGAGGTGATCCCGCGCTGTCTCGTGAGGCGCACGTCTGAGGTGATCCCGCGCTGCCTCGTGGGGCGCGCGTTAGAGGTGATCCCGCGCTGCCTCGTGGTGCGTGCGTCAGAGGTGATCCCGCGCTGCCTCGTGGGGCGCACGTCTGAGGTGATCCCGCGCTGCCTCGTGGGGCGTGCGTCAGAGGTGATCCCGCGCTGCCTCGTGGGGCGCACGTCTGAGGTGATCCCGCGCTGCCTCGTGGGGCGTGCGTCGGCGGCTCCCGGCGGCCGCTGGCAGCGCCTGTCGGCCGGTGACATCGTGGCGTGTGTTCGCAGTTGCGGTGACAAGGACAACAGTCTGGAGGACTCGCTGCGGCGGCTGGTCGGCGGCGTCTCCGTCCGAGACCACAAGGGCCAGGGACTCTGGATCACCTTCCGCCTCCTGCCCGGCGACAAGGAACAGGTGCGACGGCTCACCTCCAGGTTATCATGGATTAAGGACGACGTGGACACATTAGTGAGAGGTGGACTGCTGTTTTGCAGGGGTGATGCGCCACGCCCTGCCGTGGGGAAAGGCGTTCGTGTTTTACGTCGTGACATATTGCCTGCCTGCCCGTGGTATATCTGGCTGCCGTAGTGGTGCGTGCCTCAGGGGCACCACCTCATCTGGCGATGTCCGTGGCGGCTCCAGCGGCAGCTTGGCTTCGCGCACCAGGCTCCGACTCCGGGCGCTGGTCGACGGGCGTCCGGACTCACACCGGTCGTGTGGCGCTCGAAGTTCACACTGAACCAATCGGTGGCGGCGCCGCTGTTCGCGCTGATGCAGCAGCTGTCGCTCCGGGCGCCCTGCCTGCTGACCTTCACGAACATGGCATGGCAGGTTTTGGTGTGGCCGTCACCGCGCCGCGGCCGCCCATCGCGTCCGTGCCGTGGCCTGACCCGACCTGACCTGGCCTGCCCGGCCGGTCGCCAACAGCACCCCCACCAGGCCAAGATGGCGCTGGCGCGGCGGCGCGGCTTCCCGGACGTGATCCTGCCGACGGACGGACGGAACGACCTCTACCTGACGCTAGTGGGCGGCGAGTTCAGCCGCGGCAACAAGGTGCAAGACCGCAACGTCGAGGTCACCATGCGGGTCTGCGACGTGGACGGCAGCGTGATGACGGTGAGCGGTGGCGCGGACGGGCCTGCGCGGCGCGCGCCGCTGGCATGAGACGCGCTGGCTGACCGGGTGGTGGCCTACGCCCACAGGTGACGGGGCTCGCCTCGACGGTGGGGAGGTGTGTACCGTCTCGAGCCGTGGTGTCGTTGGGCGGACGAGCGGGGGAGGGGAGATAGCGCATGTGTCGGGTATGGCCGGTCGGCCCTGTGCGGCCGCCGCCGTCCCGCTCCTGTGTGGCGCGTCGATGGTGGTGATGGTCATGATGCTGGATGATGCTTGATAATTTATGGTGATGGTGATGATGATGATGACGATGATGACGTGGTCTCTGCGCTGGACAGGGCGCGATCGAGGCAGGCGCCGGCTGTGAGCCGTTGGAGGAGTACCGCTCGGTGGTGTACTGGCACGAAAGCCGACCCCGCTGGGCCGAGAACGTCAAGGTGGTGCTGCCGGTCGGCGGCGACTGCACCAGCCACCTGCGCTTCACATTCAAACATAGGTGAGGTGTCGCTGTCCGGACGTAGGTGAGGCGTCGCTGTCCGGACGTAGGTGACGTGTCGCTGTCCGGATGTAGGTGACGTGTCGCTGTCCGGACACCTCTCCAATGCGAGCCGCCCGTCCTCCGCCGGCGCGGCCCGCCGCGCAGGACGCCGCGGGCCCTTCTCATCACCGGATCTGATCGGCAGCCGCCGACCAAATGATGCACATCCGTCATCATGCTGTAGTGTGTTTGGTGATGATCATGAGGCGGTTCAGCCCGCTAAAGTTCCGGCTCGCCTTCCATGTGGCACGTCTGGCTTTGGTTGTGGCTAGAGCTCCTTCTGGCACAGTTGACTACGCCAGAGGCGTGCGAAATCCAGGGCAGTGCTGCGGTCATTGTCGACGTCACATGCTTGTATTGTCAAGGTCTCAAAAATGGTCTATCGGCAATGGATTTTTCAATCATGTGGCGTTGATAAGTGACCTCTTGGCTTAGGTTCACGGGGCTTGTCGTGAACTCCAGCTATTTGATAATATAATATTTGATCGCGCAAAAGAAACAGTGAGTGCACACGCTATCAAAGTGTAATTGCGCGCCAGGTTTGATTATCGTTTTGCTGCAGAGTAGTTGCTGTTTTTACCACTATAGCCACCGCAGTCCAGATAACTGTGTTTGTGCAGTGACATGTCACATGCGATGTGATGAATTTTTGTCGGGTTTTATTGGTGAGATGTATTTGATTCCAGCTCTGTATCGCTGTGCTGTTTCCTTTCTATCACTGGTTGCGCATGTCCCGCTCACTTCTGACTTGCGTTTGCCTGCCACCACGCATGTTGGCTGTCTCAGGTCAAACAACGAGGTCAAGGACAAGACGGAAAAGCCGTTCGGTCTGGCGTACGTGAATCTGATTCAGAAGAACGGCACCACCTTGAAGAACACTCGCCACGAGCTCAATGTGTACAAGGTAAGCGGACCGAGCTGGTGAGGGCGACCGCCTGAGGCGCACCGCTCCGCCGACATCAAGGCCAGGAGGGTCTGAAGAGCGGGCGTCTGGCCGGCGGTAATAGTGCTCCCGCTGCCGCCAGTGATGGCCGAAGTGATGCCTGTGGCATGTCTGCCTGTTCCCCGCACCGGACCGTCCGCCACACACAGCTTCACTCGTCGAGCGGGCCTGCGGCGTACCTGGCCGCCCGGCTGACTGGACCGTGTGACTGGCGCCGCGCCGACCGCCGCTAGCCGCTAACGCCCGCCGCCGCCGCCAGGTGGACGCCAAGCGGTTCGACGAGGGCGACGTCAGCTACCTGACGCTGCCGGCGCTGCGCAGCGAGCTGGTGGACGGCACGCGACCCGGCTCCGGCCCGTTCCTGCTCAGCCTGCGGGACTCGTTCTCACTGCAGTCGCTCACCTGCTCGACCAAGCTCACTCAGAACGGTGCGCGAAGCTCGGCGAGGCCACGCGACCGGCCGCGCTCGCCGGCCGCGCCGTCCACGGCGGCGAGTGCGACGCGTGACTGCCGCGCGACTTCCTGACCTGCGCCATGCTCTCCTTGTGTAGATAAGCTCGAGCCACGTGCATCGAGTCAGTCCCGTGGCAGGCTTTAGCTCCCTGTTGCTTGTGGACCTGCCGTGTCCGACTGTCACCTGTAGACCTGCTGGGAGACTAGCTGTGTCCGTCTGCCCCAGTGGACCTGCTGGGCCTGCTGAGGTGGTGCTGGGTCCTGTGACCAGCTGTGTCCCGCTGCCCCAGTGGACCTGCTGGGCCTGCTGAAGTGGTCCTCGGAGCCAGCGAAGCTGAGGGAGCGCCTCAGCCTGCTGCATCGGATCGACAAGGAGGAGATCGTCAAGTTCCTGCGCGACAGCCTGGACGCCCTGTTCCACATCCTGATCGAACACGAACAGGACCACGAGTACGACGTGGACGTGTTCAACGCGCTGGTGAGCGTCGGATCGGGCCGGCACCCAGCCCGCTCTCGTGCGGCAGCGGCGCGCTGCTAACCCGGCCGGTCTGTGGTGAAGTGTTGCCGGGCACGGCTCGGCTGGGTGCGGCGGTGGCACCAGGTCAGGAGCATTGTCACGCGAGCACTCAAGTGCTCTTGGCATGGTTGGTGCCCCTTGATTTGGATTTGTATTAATTTGTTTTCCGTGTTCTTGGATGACTTAGCGTTCAGCACAATTACCAAGCGAAGTTTGTTCCAAGCGAAGTTTGTTATGTGTACTCTGGACCCACCTACCGAGGTAGGCAGATTCGGCCACCAGATAATGTGGCCTCCGGGTCCTGTTCACCGCACACATCTACGGCACGCTTTACATGCCGCACATTGGTCATGTCGGCTAGGGCAAGGTTGACGCGCTGCGGACAATTTTCAGCCGACTTTACCACGTTAGTTGTGTCAAATGACGTGTCGGCCCTGCTGCTCCTATTCCATTGCTTCTGGATTACGAATGCAACATCTTTCCCGTCGTCGAAGTTTTGGATCGTGCAAAGTCCTGGTCATTTGGGGGGGGGGGGGGGGGAGTTTCTCCGTCTCCATATGTCATACCATAATCATGTTCGGTGCGAGCTCGCAGCTATTGTTACGTCGTGTGAATTGCCAGAAAGCACGTTTAGATAACTTCAATGAAACCCCGCCTACGAAGTGTGTCTCCAAGAGGTTTGCAAGCAGGCTGCCGTCTGTGACCGTGCTGCCCGCCCGGCCCCGTCAGGTGACCATCATCTCGTCAGTGGCGACGGAGCGGCGTTACCAGCACTTCCAGCCGGTGCTCGAGGCGTACCTCCAGAGTGCCTTCAGCGCCACCATGGTGCACAGGTGAGCGGGCGCGCTGCTGGCGTGCGCGCGGCACATGGCGCCGGCGCCGCCTGTCACGTGATGGCGGGCGGCGCAGCACGGGGATGCCGCCCGGCTTACTAGCTCGATGTAAACTGCGCTTTGGGGATTTGCTAGCTGAAGCTTCAGCACCATATGGGTCTACTTGGATTTTCGCGTTTGCTGTGATGCGACATGCCGTTTCAATGCCGCGGTCGGTGTCTAAGCCGTCTACATCGGCACGGTACGGCGCCCAGCCGCACCCCTCGGCTGTCGGAGCCGGAGCCGGAGCCTGGCCATCCCTTTGGCCTGGCTGGTGTCCAGCCGCACCCCTCGGCCGTTGGAGCCGGAGCCGGGCCTAAGCCGGGCCGCCCCTTCGCCAGGAAGCTGATCGGCGTGCTGCAGGGCTACCTGGACACAGTGAACCAGGCCGAGTCGCAGCTGCGGCTGACGTCGGCGCTGCCCTGCCTCCGCTACGTCTTCAAGTTCATCATCAAGTCCCGGCAGCTGTACATCAAGTGAGAGCGCGGCGTGGGCACCTAGGGAAGCGCGGGGGTCGTGCGCGGATTGGTCGGAGGGTCGCCGGGCAGCTATTGTCGCCGGTGGGACTGGTGAACTGGGATCGAACCCGGCAGGCCGCCATGCGCTGCCCTGTCCTGGACAGACCACGGGCTTACACGGACTTCACTTGCTGTGACCTGACCTGACCTGGTCTGCAGTGTCATGCTGTGTCCCACGCTCTACTGACCTAACCTGACCTGGTCTACAGTGCCATGCCGTGTCCCACACCCTACTGGCCTGTCTCACACTGTCGTGCCATGTTCTGGCCTGCACTGACCTTCCTTGCCTTGCCCTGCTCTGCCCGTCCCTGCCGTGCTCTGTCCTACCCTGCCCTACACACTGCCGACCTTCCCTGCCCTGGCGGACCCTGACCCGCCCCAACTGCGGCCACAGGATGAACGGCAGCGACGACGACGGCATGTTCGAGGCGTCGATCCAGCACCTCCTGCGCTCCTTCAACAGCCTCATGATGGCCAAGGGCCCCCGGATCGAAGACGTGCAGAACAGCGTGCTGCTGTACCTGCCGTCCACCATGGATGACCTCATCACCGTCTGCGATCCAGTGCAGCTGAGGTGGGTGGCCGACCGGTGGCGGGTCGCCCGCGCCGACAGCTGACGCCGGGGGACCGCGCCCGTCGCCGGCGCCGCTCGGCATGCGCGTTGGACGCGCCGGCGTCGCTCGGGCCGCTGCCCGTGCCTTGTTGGAGCTGAGGCCGGGGTCGGGCGTGGGCTGGCTTCCGGCCTGCCTCAGTAATGACTAACCATCGCAGGATTCGCCCCACCGGGGCGTGACCATGTTGATAGTGGGGTACCTGGCGCCGCATATCGCGCAGTCTCGTGCTCCAATCATCGAGGGGGAGAGGAGGAGGGGGAGAGGGTAATGTGTCGGTACGTTCCGTCCGTTTCCGCCAGAATGTGTTGCACTTCAGCTAGACGTTGTGCCTAGTTCCAGCCGGCTGCGCTGTGTCGTGTTTCAGCCAGACGGTGGCGGAGCTGGTGGCGATGCTGACCAGTCGGCTGACGCAGCAGCGGCTGGCCGTCATCAGCCGACTGGTGCACAGTCAGCTGTTCGTGCGCCACGAGTGTCGACACGTGCTGCTGCCGGAGGTGGGGCGCGCCATCGGCCAGATGTTCGACCTGCAGCAGCATCAGGTGGGTGCCCCTACCTCCACCTCTGCCGCCCCCGACCCCGCTTCTCCGCCGGCGGGGTCGGGGACAGGGTCACATCTGATCCCACCTGACGACAGAGACGGGCTGCTGGGTGGCGGGTGGTGTTGGTTGTCGATGTTGGGTCGGGAGTACAGCCCGCACTGCACCACTGAGCCAGGCGTTCACCTGACGAAATTTTGAGCATGGACGAAGTACTTAGCGTGTTGGCTTCTGGGACGGTTCCCCCTGACCCACGAGTGGTGTTCCGTCTGTGGCGTATCGGCGCTGTCGGGTGTGGTACTCTCGGCTGCGGCTGGCACTGACCTTGCTCTTGTCTTTCGCCCGGCCCGTGGGCTGGGCTTGCGTCCTCTCTCGCTCTCGCTCTCTGTGCCTCCCTCTCTGCGCGGTGGTGGCGGTGGCTGTGGCTCTGGGTGGTGGTTTGCGGCGGCGGTGATGCGGCGGATGCGCTCCGTGAGGCGCGCGGTCCGCTGACCCGGCCCGACTCGGCGCAGGACTCCCGTGTCATGACCACGCTCAAACGCAAGGGCAAGTCCAGCGCCAAACTGGCCAAGCTGTTCGGCGAGCAGCACGCCGAGGAGCTGGGCCTCGACAAGGCCAACGTGGACCTGAAGCGCACCACCGAGGAGGTACTGCGCACGGCCGGCTGCGCACACCCCGCTGCGCCCCAGGGCTTCCGGCGTCCACAGCGGCCGGCACACGCCCGTCCCTGCATCCCGCCTCATCCCCTTCTCTCCCCCGCTCTCCCTCTCCATTTTCTTCATTTCTCTACGTCTCCCTTGAGCCCAGGTCTCTCCGACGCCATCGCATGCCTACACTGCGGACTGTGCCCGACGCCATGGCATGCCTACGCCGCGGACTGTGCCCGACGCCATGGCATGCCTACACCGCGGACTGTGCCCGCAGCAGTGGTGTGTCTCGCCTGCGTCTGCCTCATCGGCTGCTTCTTCAGGGTTCCACGCTCAACACGCTCCGTTCTGTGATCTACCAGGTGCTTTCGTCCCAAATCGTCACTGACATCCTCAGTCTTTTCTACTTTCTTGAGGCCTGCGGCTTTATACGTGCACGTATGGATGCGTGCTCTCCCAGCGGTTTGGGTCTATCGCGCCTTGTCTGCACGAGCTTTCATGCCGGGCTTCTGGACTCCTGATCTGCTCAGCTGCCTGCGCTTGCTGCTCGCTCTGCCGAAGCACACATTCCTGCTGCAGCTGCTCTGCCCCGGCTGGACCTGCCGACCATGGCTTCGCCTCGTCCGCCCGACCGGGTCGGCGGGCTGGCCGGCCCGGTGATACCAACTGCATTGGAATGGCGACCGATGCATGGCGCCGAGTACGCTGTTCCACGTCTGAAGTCCCTCTCAGCCGGTCCACGGGGGGGGGGGGGGGGGGGGGGACATACCGTGTCCGTGAGCCCACCTGCTGGCCGGGCCGGCGGCCGCGCGTGCTGGGCGGCCGCCGCCGCCCGCTGCCCGGTGTGAGACGTCTCGCGCGCCGTGCAGCGGCCGGCGGGTGTCGGGCCGGGCGCTGAGCCGTTCAGTCGAGGTGGTGCTGGAGCTGCTGCCGACGGGAACGACTTGTGCCGCATGGCTGCCTGCAGGGTTTTTGCGGACGACGATTGCCGTCCAGGTGTAGCTCTCGGATCTTCGGAGGGCGTACGTTCTGCTGTAGATTTTTGACTAAGCTTTTAATATGTGCAACATTCTAAGATTACAGTGCACATATAAACTTGGGCACGATGGAAATTGTCGTTCAGCTTTCTCAGTATGGACTCATATGGTGAATTATAAGGTAGGAAAACACCACGAAGTTTTTAGCTTCTAGCACAAGTCCGCGATACATTGTGGAAGTGACAGCTTTTATATCAAGCGCAGCACATCGCGCCCTGTTAAGGCTCTCGTTCAGCGACCCTCTAGATGTCAGCGTCTTAACCGCTTAGAAAGCCGGTATCCCTTCGTTAAAAAACCTTGATTTTTGTATGAATAAAAATGTTCGTCATGTGAAGAGTTAATGTTCTGCCAGATTCAGAGTGATCCAGACGACGGATTTGTTCTGCAACTACTAAGGAAGGAGATAAATGTAAAGTTTGGACTATACGCAAAGGAGAGGATTCACAGATAGCTGCTATGCTTTTATGCTGTGTGCCATGCTACCTGTTATGTCTGTAAGATTCTACGTACGAAATATATAATAAATATAAGGTTATGTAGCAAGGGTTCATCACAATATTCACCATATAATCCAATTAATGTTATGCAGCAAGGGCACTTCTTGGTGTGTGAATTTTCAGCTCAGGACAAAGTATGAGGTTTGTTGAAGAGCATATGGGTCGCTGGTGGCGGTGTCCTGTAATGTTGGCCTACAGAGCGGCGGCTGTACCGGCTCGGCCCGCCGCCGCCCGCCGCCGCCCACCGCTGCCGCCCGGCTGCTGCCGCCCGCCGCTGCCGCCCGGCCGGTGCCGCTGGAACCCTGGGCGAGCAGCCACCGCAGCCGGGCGGCGGCGGCGGCGGCTATGCGGCTGATCTGGCCCGCCCTGACGTGCCGTGCCGTGCCGTGCCGTGCCGTGCCGTGTCGTGTCGGGAGCCGCGCTGACAGCCGTGCCGTGCCGCGCTGCCCGGCAGCTGCGGCTGTGCATCGACATCTTGGCGGACGTGCTGGACGTGCTGTGGCGGCAACGGGCGGGCGCCTCGGCCGACGTCGGTGTCGTCGTGCTGCAGCTGCTGCGCAAGGTCATCCAGACGGTGATCGGCGTCGACCGCGACAGCACGCTCGTGGTTAGTGCGGGCGGGCCGGCGGGGTGGTGTGTGGAGGGTGACCTGTGTGTCGTGTTCTCCGCTCCTGGTTGACCTGTATGTCGTGTTACCCGCTCGTGGCCGGTGGAGGGGCCGGCCGGCCGGGTGGTGTGTGGAGGGTGACCTGTGTGGTGTGTTACCCGCTCGTGGCCGGTGGAGGGGCGGGCCGGCAGGGTGGAGTGTAGAGGGTGGCCTTGTGTCGTGTCCCCCGCTCGTGGCTGGTGGAGGGACCGGCCGGCAGGGTGGAGTGTGGAGGGTGACCTGTGTGGTGTGTCCCCCGCTCGTGGCCGGTGGGGAGGCGGGCCGGCAGGGTGGTACGTGGAGGGTGACCTGTGTGTCGTGTTTCCGGCTCCTTGGTGACCTGTGGGGCCCGTTTGATTGCTGAGCTGCGGTGTGTGTACACGGCGGCTCATTGGTAGTCAGTATGGTGTAAACGCCGGTGAGATGTAGCCAAAGATCCTGGGTATTGATAATAGAAGCTCGGACACTGTTTTGGTACGGTGCTGAGGCACCAGCCTCGGATATGGGTATTAACACAATGGACCCTCGGTGATGATGAAATGAGAATTCGGTGGTCGACATGTTGCGACCCTTTCCTGTATGAACTCCCACATGCTTTGTATGTGTGGAATGAACGATTGTTCAAGATTGATTTGGGCTAGCAACTGGGATGAAAACGTTGTTAGTAATGCCTTTTTGTAATTTCTAATTTAATTTTTGTTTAAGTAATGTTTGTTTGCGTTCCTACCAGCCCAATATGCATCCGCCACTCAGCTAGCTCGGTTGTGCCCTGATTACCCCTCCGGGTGATTGGTTTGCTCACTGACGCAGAACTGACGCTCATTTGGCGAGGTCATTGTAAACGCCGCAAAGTCATGTCTGGCATTGCATCGGCTCAATCGCCATTTAAGCAAGTAGTTCGGCGACCGTTCGGTCTAAAAAGCGAAAAGTGCGTTTTGATGTGAATTTTGGAAAGCTTGGCTGATATCTTTTACAGCGCTGACCATAGACATATGCCTCTTCTCCCCAATGCATTCATTCTAGACAGGACACTATCACGGCACGATATGACCCCCCCCCCCCCCCCCCCTCCGTGCCCTGCAGGGCAGTCTGGTGGCCGTGCTGGTCTCGATGCTGCGTCAGATGGAGATGAACCACTACGAGCAGTACATGGCGCAGTTCTCGGACGTCACCGACCAGCTGCACTTTATCATCGAGATCCTGCTGGTGTTGCGCGACCTGGTCTCCAAGTGTGTCTACCCGCCCGACTGGTGCGAGATGGTCATGCTCCAGAACAGGTGATTGTCTACCCGCCCGACTGGTGCGAGATGGTCATGCTCCAGAACAGGTGATTGTCTACCCGCCCGACCGGTTCGAGATGGTCATGCTCCAGAACATGTGATTGTCTATCCGCCCGACTGGTGTGAGATGGGCACGCTCCAAAACAGGTGATTGATAGGGACCCTGCTTCGCCACCGCGCGTCGGACTCTGAAGACTTAGTGTCCTGGGTATGCCGTCGGTGTACACCCTGATGTGCCCTTGTGCTTTTGACTGTGGGCCATAATGGTCTGTGTTGCCAGGTGACACAACTAGGGTCGCGCGGCCGTAAGGGCTTCTGTTGCGTGGTCCAGTAAGTCGCGATGCTCATTTCTTACCCCGCGTTACGGTGTAAGTGCATAAGCGTTGGAATGCTACTGCTGGAAGTCTGTTCGTCAGCACGTGTTTGCACATGTCACCACGTCCTCAATAACGTCGCAATTGATGTAGTGTAGTAATAACATGTATGTGATGTTTTGCTCTGTCATGTATTTCTAACCGTAACCAAGGCACAAAATGGTCATTCTGACGTTGTCGAATTTTGACAGTACACTCAAATGAAGCATCAGATGCATCGAAGCATTTAGCCTCCTGGCATTCATTTTGATGAGGAAATGGCTTAAGTTTATTCATGAACTGATAGTTTGTGCTGGACTTATTTACAAGAGCATGTCATGGAGCACATTATACTTTTATTTTAAAATGATGCATTGATGTATGTAATGTAGTATAATGATACATTGGTTTAATGACACATATGTATGTCCTGTAGTCCTCATATGACTTGCTGTGTGGTGAATACTGCACATGCTGTGGTACATGACGTTTATGTGCTGTTCATAAAAGCGCGGTTATGCGGAACAGAGTTTGTCACCTTGATTTGAATATTGTGATCTGTAGCGTACTTGGAGTCAACTGCCCTCATTTGATGATGAAATACGCCGACGTTATTCAGACACCAGGTGCATTTCACGGTGATATATTGTGCCATATGATCACCTGCTGGAATTATTAATGTGGCACGTGACGGATGGCAACGTGGGATGCATGTGAGATGAGGAGGCATTAATCATGTAGGAGCGTAGCTTATCATGTCCGCCTCATTAGAGCAGATGCGGGGGCGCCGTTTGTGTCATTTGCGTCATGTTATCTACTTACTCATGCCATCTATTGATGGGGCCTTATTAAGCCCTTGGAAACATCTGCCGAAATGAAGCTGATGTGGTCGGTTGAGTTGCCTTCCGTGGGCGCGCTTCCGCTGATCGCCGGTCGGTGGTCCCATACTGCTGCGAACCTCGAGCCGCGGGCCCAGTCCCCAGTGCTGCCCAATCCCGGGAGGAAAGCGTGCGCCAGCCTCGCTGCAGGAGCGGCCCGTAGTGAGACCTGCGGCCCTGGGTCCCTGCTCTGGATCGTGGGCCACACGCTACAGGAGCGGCCCTTAGTGAGATCTGCGGCCCTGAGTCCCCGCTCTGGATCGTGAGCCACATGCTGCAGGAGCGGCCTTTAGTGAAATCTGCGGCCCTGGGTCCCCGCTCTGGATCGTGAGCCACATGCTGCAGGAGCGGCCCTTAGTGAGATCTGTGGCCCTGGGTCCCCGCTCTGGATCGCGAGCCACACACTACAGCGGGCCCTCTCCGTTGCAGCGTCATCCTGAAGGCGCTGCGACTCTTCAGCCACACCATCCGCGACCGCTTCCTGGACCCGTTCGAGACCCAGATCTGGAACAACTTCTTCCACTGCGCCATCTCGTTCCTGACACAGGTCAGTGGGCGGCGCGTTGGCGCGGCTGCCGGGCCGAGGGGTGCCTCGCGAGCCGGCCGGCGCCGCCGCTCCTGGATGGCCCCATTGGCGAGTGCGGCGCTCCCGGGACGCGCTCGCCGCCGCTTCGGGTGCGGGCTTCCAGCCGCATTCTGGGGCTCGATCTGGACTGCACACGGGCTCCGGGGGCGATCGGTCGTCGTCGGACGGGCGTTGTTGGCGTGTAGCGGCCGGTGGTGGCCGGTGGCGACGGTGCACTGTGCTCGGTGTGGGCCATTCCCTCCGAGTTCAGGCGTCCGACGTCTGCCGACCGGCCTGCGGAGCGACGTTGTGCGGGTGTGCGTTGTGTGGGTGGCGTCGCCGATCCTCCATGGTAGTCCCCGATGGTGCGGTTGGGCTCGTGCTGGTGCTCCGTCTGTGTTCAGTTGGCGCCTCAGGCCGCCAGCTGTGCTGTGCACGCTTGTCGGGCTGTAGTGTTTCATTTTTGGCCGTGCTGTTGGCGTCTCCCCTCGCTTTTCTGCTTCGTCCTCACCTCAGTATCCCCGATCTTTCACCCGCCACCTGTCCGTCTCCCCACATGACCTTCCTTCGCCAGTGGCCCTGTCGCTGTGACCATGCACCCGCAGGCAGACCGCAGCCGTGTCCTGACACGCCCCGACTCCTCCAGAACCCGCTTCAGCTGGAGAACTTCACGGCCACCAAGCGGTCCCGGTTGCTGGCGCGCTACAAGGACATGCGCAAGAGCACGGCCCAGGAGATCTGCACCATGTGGATCAGTCTGGGTGGGTGGCCGGCTGTGACGTAAGCGCGGACGCTGTTGCGGCGCGATCGGCCGCGGGTCCCGGGGCGCCGAGCCAGGGTCGGTCCGCTCGGCCGCGCTCATGCGAATGCCGTTTCAGTCGATGCTGGCAGGTCATCACGCGCGCGCGGACCGGCGTCTCACTACTGGGGATCGCAGGATGTGCGCGCGTGTGACCGATGGTGTCCAGCCTCGGTCGCGGCGGGTGTCGCCGGCCGTCGTGTGCGTCGGGGTCTAGCCGGTCCGCCCGGGCCTGACGCGCTGACGCGGCCCTCCTGTGCCGGCAGGCCAGCACAAGATCTCGTTCGTGCCGTCGCTGGTGGGGCCGTTCCTGGAGATGACGCTCGTGCCGGACCCGGAGCTGCGGGCCATGACCATCCCGCTGTTCTTCGACATGATGCAGTGCGAGTTCTACGCGCCCGTGCGGCCCGACGCCCAGTACAACGACACCAAGCGCCAGACCGTCGCCAGCAAGTGCAATTTCAAGGAGGTGCGTGCCGCCGCCGCCGCCGCCTACGGCGATGACGCCAGTGGCGGCACTCGGTGGTCGGGTTCGGCGGTGGTTGGGAAAGAAGTTTGCGTTCGTTGCTGTCTTTTTCTCATAATAGGAGCGAGGTTTTCTTTGTGGTTGTGCCTGCGTGCTAAATTTTTTCTAGTCACATAAGTCGCGACGTGCAACGCGAAGTAAGGGCGTGTGTGTAGATAGTAGCTAGATAACGTGCCTATGTGTGACGACACCTATTTATTTTCGACATGCTCGTTAATGCGGTTTGTTGCAAATGTACGAGCTGCAAATTTTTGACGACATGTCGGAGCTTATTGAGCATTTGTTTTCTATGAGTTCTATCATGAACACTCTGAAACTAATTTCGCCAACAGGTTGTATGTGATATTTTTTTGCGTAGCCTGTAGTCCCATTCATGAATATTATCAAATGAAACTTCACGAGGGCGCATCAAGGTAAAAAAAAATTGTGAACACGAGAAAACATTAAAAAATGAACACGTTAATTGTCGCAGTCATTGTCAACAATTCGGTATCGTTCTCCACAAAGGATCACCAATGCGTTACACATGCGCCGTACAATAATTCCATACCGTGGAAAACCCCGAACACTGCCCTCGAGTCCAAAGACCGTCGCCGAATTAACTAGCTTTGAACACCAAACCCATCCTCATACGTAACTCGCATTGTGCAGCCGGGACCCGTGGTCAGCTCAGCTAATGAACCAGAGCCGGTGCCTGTCGGTGCCCACTCACTGAGCGACCGGGCCCTGGTGGTCACTGTTTCAGCTGGCTGGCCGCTGCTCCAGACGGTCTGTCATGGGACGCTGAGCGTGTTGGTACCGCTTTGGTGGACACGAGGCACTCAGCTGATTGACATTTATACCGGTGGCAGTTGCACAGTACTCAGACGGTCATAGTGACACACTACACGGGTTACAGCCATGTACAGGCGCCTCAACAGTGGATCCAGTAGCTCTATGGTTTGAACGGCATACGGGGATTTATATATGTATATATATATATATATATATATATATATATATATATATATATATATGCATATACATATGTACATATATCCAGGACCTCCACGATTACAGGATGCTGGAGTCTGTTTTATGGACTGCAGTCACGTGTCTGCCAGTCAGTCACGACAGTAGGTCATGCCACTGTAGATGATGGCCGGCCCCACATGCGGTTCGGTCGCGGTGTCCCGTGTTTCCTGGCCTGACGGGTGCCCGCCGTCGCCACCAGTTTGAGTGTGAGATGATCAACAAGCTGGACCACCTGGTGGAGGGCGGTCGCGGCGACGGCTACTACTTGGAGGTGTTCCGCAAGAAGATGTTGGACCTGTGCGAGCACCACAGCTCCATGCGAGAGCAGGTGAGGACGCGGCGCGCCGCGCCATCCGGCCGCCGAGCTCCGCTCCAGCCGTGCCGTGCCGTGCCGTGCCGTGCCGTGCCGTGCCGTGCCACGTCAGTCCATCCCTGGCCCGCTTTGGAGGGCCGGCTGCCAACGCTGCTCCAGAGTAGTCTAATCTCGGCTGAACGAGCATCTTTTTCGTGGTGAATATCTGCAAAATCTTGGATAGATATCCCGCCCGTAAGGCTACCGAAAAAGGCGAGACAATTAAACAGTGTTCAGTGTGCGGTGTCGTGCCATCCACCGTAGTTACCATATTCTGGAAGCAGCATAGCTTGTGACAGAAAAGATTCGGACTCTATGTCACGTTACGCAACGGCACCACATCCGTCCGATCACCTACTGTCAGGGGCCTCCGGCCTTCGCTGCTGTCATTACTGGTCGCGTGACTGGCAGTCATATGTCAGTTTGGAGTAAGCTGATGGGCTGATTGCAATGCAGCTCATTAACCGGAGCGGTTGTGCTTTAATAATATTTCAATAGGACGTTTGCCAATATGTGTTTGTTTGCCACAGTCTGGCTGCTTAAGTTCAAAGCCATATGCGAAGGTAAAACATTCCCTGCAAGCTTCTGCTGTGTTAGGTCGCTACACAAGCCATACAGCCCATCCCTCTTGCGTCAAGAATGGCACCGACTTTCATGAGTTGTTTGCTAGGCATCCATGACACAATCTGTGAAGATCATCCCGCACTTTCGTAAAAGCCGTGACAGCCTGGTTGCGATTTGATTTTGCCCAGCTTGCCGTTTTTGGTTGGATGGGAGATGCTAATTCGTGGAGCATTATTCACGGCACCTTGGCTGACTTTTTTCTTCTTCTCATGTTTCATTTTCTTGTTGCCAGTCCTCGTTTTACATGAGCCTCGGCGGTGATGCGACTCCTCTGGGTACATTCGGGTGCGTGTGGAGAGTGCTGTGCTGAACTGAGGCGTGTGGTTCACGTGGGTCGGGATGGAGGTCATCTGATGGCTGATATCGGTCATGATTCGGACCTCCAGCGGGCTCACCGGTCCTCCTTACGCCGGTGCGCTCACACCGGTCCCGCCCACGCCTGTCCCGTTCACGCCGGCCCTGCTCACACCGGCCCCGCCCGCACCGTCCCCGCCCACACCGGTCCTGCTCACACTGTCCCCGCCCACACCTGTCCCGTTCACGCCGGCCCTGCTCACACCGGTCCCGCCCACACCGGTCCTGCTCACACCGTCCCCGCCCACACCGTCCCCGCCCACACCGGTCCTGCTCACACCGGCCCCGCCTACATTGGCCCCGCCCACACCGTCGCCGCCCACACCGGTCCCTTTCACGCCGGCCCTGCTCACACCGGCCCCGCCTACATCGGCCCCGTTGCTAACCGGCAGGGTGTGCGGTTCGTGAACATGGTGACGCGGCTGATGGAGCGCCTGCTGGAGTACCGCTCCATCATGCGCGACGAGAACGAAGAGAACAAGATGAGCTGCACTGTCATCCTGCTGGTGAGTGGGCCGGGCTGGGCCAGCCGGGCCGGGACAGCCGCCTGACGTTGACACGGCCGTACTCGGGCGGCCGCTGGCCTGCGGCTGCTATAGCCGTCAGCCGGCGATGTTAGCCAACATCCGGCAGTGAGAGCAGCTACACCGGCGGGCCTGGCTTTCACAATTGACGTGCCATCTGTTACGCTGCACTCTATGAGGGCGTGCGCCCACGGTTTGATGCGGACGCTGCTGGTGCAGTGAGGCGCGGGGCGTGCGCCCACGGTTTGATGCGGACGCTGCTGGTGCAATGAGGCGCGGGGCGTGCGCCCACGGTTTGATGCGGACGCTGCTGGTGCAGTGAGGCTCAGAGCGTGCGCCCACGGTTTGATGCGGACGCTGCTGGCGCAGTGAGGCGTGCGCCCACAGTTTGATGCGGACGCTGCTGGTGCAGTGAGGCTCACGGTGTTGACCCACGGTTTGATGCGGACGCTGCTGGCGCAGTGAGGCTCAGAGCGTGCGCCCACGGTTTGATGCGGACGCTGCTGCTACAGTGAGGCCCATGGTGTTGACCCACGGTTTGATGCGGACGCTGCTGGTGCAGTGAGACTCAGGGTGTTCGCCCACGGTTTGATGCGGACGCCGTTGGTGCAGTCATGCTCAGGGTGTGCACAAGTCGCTTTGAAGAGCTACTTGGAGCTTGTCATCAAACGGAAATGCGATGTAATAAAACTGTTAAGTCCGGTGAGGGGGACACCCGAGTTAGAACGACGGTGATATGCACCAATACTAAGACCGTTTTATAAGACCGGTACCAAATATCTGGTGCTGTGCTGGTGTAGCCATCACGAAATCCCATGGCGCCTGGTTTGCCATAAGCGGTTTCCATTAGCAGGGCGCAGCACCGCCGACCAATCGGCAGTCCCGATCGGCTGCACAGACGCCCGGTAGCCCGCGTCTGCTGCGTTCACAGCTCTGTTAATATTGCCAGGAATGCAGCCCTGTTAACACGTGGTGCTAAATGCGAGTCGTCAAAATGATGCATTTGAAATGAAGATGTGCTATGGATATCCAAGCGATTGTAATTACTTTGCATTCATATTAAAGCTAAACGCAGGCTATTTTGTGGACATAATACAATCTATCACATGGGACGGTCAAGTATAAAAACAGAAAGCCAAGCCGCCTGTGTTGTACATCGGACCCTTTTTTCTAACCTTGCCCGCCCGGCGCGCAACCCGACCTCGAACCCCTGGATCTGTATCCATCAGCGATACTCCCAAGAGTACTGGTGTATGCGAAGGGCCCGTGGACATCATCCCTACTCAAGCGAGCGATCAGTACTGCCAGATGCGGGTACCGTGGAACGTATATGCTTGCATGGCCCAAGAGACCAAGAGGCGCACCGAAACATTACGTGCGTTTAACGGTTAGTAGAGTAGAGCACGTGCTGTTGTGAACGACAGCCACGGATAATTGCTCCATGATCGTAAGTCAGTGCATTTTATGTATCATCCTTTAGAGGAATTCTTTATTTTACAATTTGGTCGTTAGAATGGACACCTTTTGTACCATTGAGACACGATGTAGAGGAGCGGGGACCCAAGTGTGTCTGGTCACTGCATCGCGGCGAACGTAACATCAAACTGCGTAACCTGGGAGAATATTGCTAAGTCCGATGTCGCCCCCGCTCGACAAAAGGACAGACATTATGTTGATGGGATCGCTTTTTCACGGCACAATTTAGTTACGATGACGCATTTTCTCAGTTGAAATAATTTTCTTGCCCTTCCCACCTGCGGATCTGTCACGTGTCCGCGTAACGGGACTGTCATTTAAGTGACGCCTGGAAAACACTACAAAACCGTCAGCGATCTTTTACAGCACAGTGGTTGCCGAAATACACCTCGTGTGGAAACGGGCGCGGAGTACACCACGTGGCGGTGCATATCGATGCACTGCCTGCACCAGCCATACGTGATCAGGTCCGGGACAGTGGGACCGGAGGCAGACAGCCGGGACCGCTGGGGTGGGGGCGGATCGGGTCCCGGTGTTGGCTGAAGCCCGTGAGCGTGCACCGCGATGACTGGCTTGTCCACCGGCCGGCACGCTGCCTGCCTGCGGTGCCGTGTCCCGTAGGCTGATCGCGCTGGGGCGCGGCGCACGTGGCGTCTGAGGACAGTGAGATTATCGGCGAGACCGCCGTCTTTCTTGGCCACTGGTCAGGGCTTCTGTGGATTGAATCGTGTTCGCGGTCGTTATTGGAGGTAGGCGCTGGTCGCCCAAACGCGCTGCTCTGCTCCAATCCACGCGCGGTCACGCGGCTCGCCTGTTACAGCACTTCTACAGCGAGATCGGCTGCCAGGAGATGTACATTCGCTACCTGCACAAGCTGTGCACGCTGCACCTGGCCGCCGACAAATTCATCGAGGCCGGCTTCACGCTGAAGGTAGGCTCCGCGCCCGCGCCGCGACCATACTCACTGCTCACGCGGATGGTGTGCTGAGATTCCGGCTTACTGAACGTAGGCCGCGCTGACGTTGGAGGTGGGCTGGGCTGCCGCCTGTCGAGGACAAGCTCAGCTGCCTCTTGAAGTGGGGTGAGGTGCGTCTTTCTAAGCTCCCGTCGTTCAGTTTATGGCCCGTCCCTGCGGCGACGGTGGGCAGGAGTCTCACCCGACTGCTGACAGGCCGCACGCCCCCACCGAAAGCCATTCCTGCTCGCATCGCAGATGGTGGTGAGGCCACTGCCCGTACGTCCGCCGTGAATTAAGCTGCCGTGTCGTCTCAACGCACACAGCGGCCGAGCTGACCGGCCGACGTGTGCCGCCTCGGGCGCTGAACTGTTGGCCGTCACGGGGGAGGCCGGCGCCGCTCCGATCCCGCCGGCGTGCCACTGACTGGCGCCAGGATGGCGGCGGTATGGCTGTGGCGAGTCGCTCCGACAGTCGCACTGCGCAGGCCGCTGCTGCCGTGCGCCGGCCGCCCTGGCGCCGACCTGACACGGCCGGGCCGGCTGTACTGCGCGACGGCCGACCCGACCCTGGCGCTGCCCCGCCGGCGGCGCCCTGACCGCACTTGTGTGTGGCGTGTCGGCAGCTACACGCCAAGGCGCTGCAGTGGTCGGACGAGCCGCTGCCCTCGCTGCTGCGCCACCGCACCTACGCACACCTGGAGACGCACCGCGCCATGAAGGAGGCGCTCTACTACGACATCATCATGTACTTCGACAAGGGAAACGTGAGCTGCCGGCGCCGGCAACCTCGGCTGTTTTGGTGGCTCCCTACACAGTTTTTTTCGGGGGGGGGGGGGGGCTCATAGAGGACGGAGCGAAACGTATGTGTGTCTGATTCTTGGCGGGTTTTGCCAGAAGCCCGGTCGTAGTGGAAGCTGGCTACACGTGTTGAGCTAGATGGTTGTTGACACAATGTTCTGAGAACCACCGCACTCCTGAACACGCCTTCACACGTCGGAGTAAGTCTCTGCGTCGATGCTTTGCCGGACCGTAGCGGCAACGCCACGCTCCAATCGAGGCGATCAGAGCGCCTGGCCACACAAAGTAGGGGCGGGCGCCAGCCTGCGGCCGTTCAGAGCTGAGACCATGCGTGTCGGGCCGGCGTGTTACGCGCCACGCGTGGCTTCGCGGCAGTGGGCGCCACGCCCCGCTATTCGGCGCTCGGCGTCCGGCGCCGTGACCGTGTGCGCACTGTGTGCAGCTGTGGGAGGCGGCGCTGGAGCTGTGCAAGGAGCTGGTGCGCCAGTACGAGGAGCAAACATTCGACTACCAACAGCTGAGCGAGCTGCTGAAGCGCATGTCGCGGCTCTACGACAAGATCCTGCACGAGATTCGGCCGATGCCCGGGTACTTCCGCGTCGCCTTCTGCGGTCGGGGATTCCCGGCCTTTCTGCAGAACAAGGTGACAGGCGGCCGTGTCCACCCAGCGCTTCTGTAGGTGTCTGTCCTGCCCCCATTTCTCTCTTTCTCCGTCCTCGTTTTCTCCTTCCTTCCCTCCATCGCCTCCTTCCCTCCGTTCCTTCCTCCCTTCGTTCCTCCTTCCATTCCTCCCTCAGTTCCTCCGTCCGTTCCTCCGTCCGTTCCTCCGTCCGTTCCTCCGTCCGTTCCTCCCTCCGTTCCTCCGTCCGTTTCGCCCTCCGTTTGTCCCAACGTTCCTTCCTCCGTCCGATCTTTCCTCCGTCCGTTCCTTTCTCCTTCCATTCCCTCTCGCTCTCCATGCTTCCTTCCTTCCTTCCTTCATTCCTTCATTCCTTCCCCTCTCTCCCTCCTTCTGCGCACTCTCTTCCCCCACTCTGTTTTTCTGCAAATTGATCTTGTCCGTGGCAGGCTCAGACTAAACTAACGAGACAGCCTCGGAAATATGATCTGGTTTTTGTGAGCGCCTCCCGCCGGTCAGGTGATAACCTCATCAGCGTGGCGACCGAACACCGGTAGAGCCGCGCCGGCCAGCTGCACGGCCATCGCGAAACCATGTGATTGCCTTTCGTGCCCTTAATTTGCCAGCTGCGTTGTCACCCTGCGGCAGCTCCGGGCGGCGAATGAACACGTAACCCGGATCTTGGTTCAAGTTCGTGTCGCGCCTGGTCGCGCGATTGGGGAGATTGTCGGCCCCATGTCGCAGTGTGTCGAGATCGACGCCAGCCTGCGCACGGTGGGCTGGTGCGGGCGCGGTGACGCGGCGCCGCACCGCGCTACAGTGTGGTCCCTCGCCAGTTGACCCGGCCTGATCTGACCTGACCTGACCTGACCTGGCCTGGCCTGGCCTGTGCCGCAGGTGTTCGTGTACCGGGGCCGCGAGTACGAGCGCCTGACAGACTTCAGCGCCCGGATCCAGTGCCTGTTCCCCAAGGCGGAGCTGATGGCGAGCCTGGCTCCGCCGGGGCCCGAGACCACCGAGTCGCTGCAGCAGTGTATCCTCGCAGGCCGCCGAGGCCGGCCGGGGCCCGGCCCGAGCTGGGGAGCGCGCTGGGCGGGGCGCAGCGTCTGCCGGGCTCCAGACGGCCAGACCAGTGGCCGGCTACTGGGGGATGGAAGGGGGCGTCCGGCTGTGGTTTGCGCTATCGAACGGACGATTTTTGCGCAGCAGAGCCTTGCTGGTGACCTGTGCCGTGGTATGGACTTTCGGCGTGCCCCTGCGTGAGCTTCCCGTCGTTTTCTGTCCGCTTTCTTCTTTCCGTCTCGCCTGCTGTCTGCTGATACTCGCCGGGGGCATTCGTCTGTGGTGTGGTGACTGGCGGCTGGCTGGTGCGACTGCCTCGGCTGCGGTAAGGCAGCTGGGGCCTGCCGTGGCTGTTGTGACGAGTCAGCTGTCCGGGGCCCGCTGGGTCGAGAGCCGGCTCCGCCCGCCTTCTCCGGCGGGCGGTGCGCGGCCCGCGTGCTGTTGAAAGCCTTGACCGCGCTGGCGCCAGACTTGCAGATCAACAGCGTCGACCCTGACATGGAGAGCAACAAGCGCTTCTCGGGCAAGCCGGTCACCGAGAAGATCCTGCAGTACTACCGGGTACGTACCACCCCGAGTACCAGCGCCGCCCCCCGCTTGCCAGCTGCGGCGCCAGCCTGGTGGCCGGTGACCGCCGGGTTAGCGAACCCGGCGCGGCTGCGGCGCGGCTCCAGATGGGCGTCAGTCACGCTCGTGTGCTGTGCGGATTGTCCGCCATAAGAGGCTCAGTCGTCGGACAGGCCATTAGTTCCCCCGACTTCAAAGCCGTGCGTACCTAGCATGTGTCCGTGTGGGACTCGCGTGAGAGCTAACTGAGCCGCCCCAGCCTCATCATAGTCCGTATAATTTTGTTTGCAACAAAATGGGCGACTTCAGTGGCGTTGTCTGTGTGTATAATCCATCTTTTTTCACGCAGGAGAAGAAGCGTAGTGTAAATATTTGGCCATCGTTTACGGCTTGGTCCCCAACAAGGTCTGCTGAGTCAAAGTCTGGTGGCAGGGCTCCGGGCGCACCAATTGATAGGAAGCAGGTGGTTCCCTGTCTCTCCTTATAGTGGCTTGTGTGCTGCTCCACAGGCTCGTGAGGGATGTTTCCGTTAACACTAACCAGCCGCTAGGAAGCTGAACTGAACATCGAGCTCGCCGAACAACGCCGCGCGCTCCCGAGGGCTGGGCGGACTCGCTCACGGCGATCCGTGATGTGTGGTGTCATTGTTCGTGGGTGGAAATTACTTGCGGTGTTATTGCTGCACATCAACCCTCCCACTAAAACGCAGTGTAATCGGACGGTGTGTTTGCTCCAGGTCACTGTCATTGGCCAGTTGTGATCGCCACCCCAACTCTGACGCCCGCCCCCCCCCCCCCCCCCCCCCCCCACCCCCGCCCTTCCCCAGATAAACGACGTGGACAGATTCGTGTACTCGCGACCGATCCGGAGAACGCCCAAGGACCCGGACAACCCGTTCGCCAGTCTGTGGCTGGAGCGGACCGTGATGCGCACGGCGTCCAAACTGCCGGGTGAGTGCGCCGCCGCACCGACCGCCGCCGTCCCGCCGCCCGCTGACGGGCTCACAGGCCGGCTGGTGCGGTGCCGGCTGGTGCGGTGCCGGCACACGGCACCTGCAGGCGGCGTCGGCGGCGTGTCCGATCCGTTCGGGACTCGCGAGCGGATGGGATGACTGAGAGCGTGCGGATGGCGCCTACGGAGGCCCTCGTCGAGGGCGGCGTCGGCTGGGACAGGACGGGCAGGGCTGCGGATCCGGCGGCGGCCGCGCCGCCGAGCCGGGTGTTCGGTTGTCGGACGTCCGCCGCCGGCTGCGTCACCGTCGGGCGCCCGGCTGCGGCACGACCGCCTCCAGCCGGGATGGGCGGAATGTGGCGCAGCAGGTCCCGGCTCGCGTTCGTCCGCGACTGCGCGTCTTGCGTCCAAACGCAGTTGCTTTGGTCGTGACGTAAGCTTCCGAACGTTGGAAGCTGGGACGCTGTTGCTGGCCAGTCCGTGGCGTTTACTTGGGAGCGTGTCCTGACCCCAGCTCTGGCTGTCATAATTGCATGCTGTGTGACATTTAACGTAAGTTCTTCAGTGCATTAGTGAAGAACATTCTGTGTGATATATGTTAGTATTCCAGCTATTTTGGGAGCTGTGCAAACATGGCACGGATGCTATGCAAATGTATGTGGCTATAGCAAAGATAGCCTACAAGCTGTACCCATCGGTAAAAATCTGAGTCGCGCACGTTTTACCATGGTGTTGTCTTACAGCTGAAATGGCTGTTCAAACACAAAGGTATGCATATTCACTTTGATCGTTCGCTAAGTTGAGCAGCTCAGTTATTCCGGTTTCTGGGTAGTGCGCGTCGCGGGGCTGGCGGCTGTCGCCAGGGACGGGGGCCGTCCGCTCGCCGACCAGACTGCTGTGGTCAACTGGCACGGCTTCGCCTGCCGAAGCCCCCCCCCCCCCCCCTCTCCCGATCGGATCCTCCGCCGGCCCCGGCCAGGTGTCCCCCTCCTACTCCAGATAAGATAAACAGCAATCGGCACAATCGAATCATGTCGTATTGCTCGGGTGGCCTCCATCAGGGCTGGCCCGCGGCGCTCGGTCCGCGCGGCTCTGTGGTCACGGTAGACACGGCCAGGCCTCTCCGCTGGCGCTCTGGGAGGAGCTGAACGTGACGACGGGCGGAGGACGCTGGGGTCCTGGCAGGAGCGGAGGACGCTGGGGTCCTGGCAGGAGCTGAACGTGACGACGGGCGGAGGACGCTGGGGTCCTGGCAGGAGCTGAACGTGACGACGGGCGGAGGGCGCCGGGGTCCTGGCAGGAGCGGAGGACGCTGGGGTCCTGGCAGGAGCTGAACGTGACTACGGGTGGAGGACGCTGGGGTCCTGGCAGGAGCTGAACGTGACTACGGGTGGAGGACGCTGGGGTCCTGGCAGGAGCTGAACGTGACGACGGGCGGAGGACGCTGGGGTCCTGGTAGGAACTTAACGTGACGACGGGCGGAGGATGCCGGTGTCCTGGGAGGAGCGGAGGACGCTGGGGTCCTGGCGGGAGCTGAACGTGACGACGGGCGGAGGACGCCGGGGTCCTGGCAGGAGCGGAACGTGACGACGGGCGGAGGACGCCGGGGTCCTGGCAGGAGCTGAACGTGACAACGGGCGGAGGACGCTGGGGTTCTGGCAGGAGCTGAGCGTGACAACGGGCGGAGGGCGCTGGGGTTCTGGCAAGGACATAATACGACTGCGGATGTAGCAGAGGCGCACCGGGTGTTCAGCTGAGGGTTTTCATGGTGAACTGGCTGAGGAATGTTCGGACTGTTTTTAATACATTCAGGTGCTGCTACGT